GAGGAGGCTTTCAGGCCTCGAGTGTATTGTGAGAAGGCTTTCAGGCCTCATGTTGATATGTTCAGGCTTTCAGGCCTTATGACAATATAGCGCTTGGGTTGTAGGAGCCCCTCCGGAGTCTGCACACCCACAGTGAGCGCGGGTACCCATCTAGAGTGATTAAATATTGAACAGTGGTAACAATGACACTGTTATACGCGTTTGGTCAGGTAACAATGGCTGACCGGTCAGGTAACATTGGCTGACTTACTGGTTGAGTATGATTGATTTTTAACTGTTTTCAAAAAGATTTTTCTTACTATATTTCACTGGCTTCTACTGTTTATCTTATGTTGCTGCTTGAGATAGCATTATTTTGCCCTTGTGGGATTTTATGTTCTCAATCGTTATTTATTTTTATTACTCACTGGGTCGGAGTACTCACATTACTTCCTGCACCATGTGTGCAGAGACAGGCACAGCTGAGTTCGTACCTGAGCGCTGATTTCCTTCCAGACCAGGCGGGCTAGGAGAGACGAGGTAGCTGTCGACGTCCACAGCCTCGTTTCTTCCTTATCTTCTGCATATTTTATTCATCTTCAGACTATGTTCCCAGACTTGTAGTATTTTCATCAACTCTGTAGTAGCTCGTGACTTGTGACACCCCGATCATCAGGCTGAGTTTGGGATGGTTTTTTTCCCGTTATGTTACGTTTTATTTCCGCACTTATGATTGATTATTCAGTAACTATGATTTAGACCTGTTTATGCTAAGAAATTGTTAAAAGAAGTGTTAATGTTCTGTTGGCTGACCTTGACTTCACGAGGGGCGCCATCACGACCAGGTTGAGAATTGGGTCGTGACAATTAGCTCCTTGTTTTAATTTAATCCTGTCATTGTTTGTATAATAGTGGTCTTGGGGGACCTCTTGTTTTTATTGTGTCATTATATCCAGGGGCAGCCTAATGCACCATAGTATCTCGTATTCACGTAGGGTCCAGGGAAAGGCGTACCCAAAGAATTGCTTTCACGGCTTGAACCCGTCACCGATAAGCTTGTGGCTATCGGTCACACGGAAATAAGTTTTACTATTTTAAACTTGGCTCCATTTGTGACTTGTACACTACACTGTATAGCCGCTCTTAAAATAATAGCCGAAAAAATGTATATTTTTTGTATGTTATATACAAAAGTTACACAAATTTTATACACTTTTTCGATTATAAAATGTAAATAGTTTCTGGCGCGACTAACAATAGAAAAAATCTTTTTTTTTTTTTTTTTTGGTGTCTATTACACTAAAGAAAAAAAATGTTCAAGTCACTCTCCTAGTCCTATAAACATACAAAAGCTGCACTTCAACTATATATATATTTTGTACTATATATATGCTGAAAGGAAATGTGGTTGGAAACACACTTGCTCAAAACTAAGCCCCACAACTCTATGACATGGAGATTGCAGTGGAAACTAGAACAAACAATGTCCATTTGGCACCAATCAAAGACTCAAGAACCTTATCCCACATCATAAATCTAATCTTCCCAATATCCATTTCCCACACATTCAAAAACCAAGGCAATCTCCCTTCACATATTGATCACAAAATCTAAAACATATTCCTCCCACAAACATTAAGAGGAAACCAATCCAAAAAACAAAGAAAAGAAAGGCTAATTGTAAGCAATGGCTTCAACCCAATGTTTCTTGCACCAACATGCACTCTCTAACTCAGCAGCTAGAACAACATCCTCAGTGTCATCACAGAGGTACGTTTCATCCCTCAAGCCTAACCAATTGGCTTGCCGTGCCCAAAAACAGTCCTCGGCTCAAGAAGATGATGGCAATAGTGTCGCCGTCTCTCGACGATTGGCTCTCACTGTCCTCATTGGTGCTGCTGCCGTTGGTTCCAAAGTTTCCCCAGCCGATGCTGCTTATGGAGAAGCTGGTATGTCAAGTTCAATTTTGACATACTGTCTCAAAGAATGTTGTATACTATCTGATCAATTAAAAAATAACTACACATACTTGCCCATAATATGTGAAATTAGCCGTTTGGAAAGTAGAACGTATATACAACCTGTAATAACGAGTTAAATATGCTGCAACAACAACAACCCAGTAAAATCCCACAAATGGGGTCCAGGGAGGATAGAATGTAGGCAGATCTTATCCCTACCCCGGAGGGATAAAGAGGTTGTTTCTGAGAGACCCTCAACTCAAGAAGACGAAAATAGACAATAGAAAAATCAAAAAAATAATATAAGCATCGTAGGAAACAGAAAATAGATGAAAAAGCAATAACAACAATCAGTAATAAAGCCACAGTACTATGAAAAAACGGAAAAATAGTGTGGAACAACCTACACCACTAATAATCCAAGACTAGTTAAATACGCTGACAGTAAATTCATTCTTTACGGTGTTAGTGTATATAAACTAAATCCCTTTGAACACATTCATTATGATCAGAATATTGATCAGACGAACCTATATAAAACAACTTCCATGGAATAACATAAAGGACAGCCCGATGCACTAAGCTCCCGCTATGTGCGAGGTCCGGTGAAGGGTCGGACCACAAGGGTATATTATACGCAGCCTTACCCTGGGTAACGCGGCAACAACTTTACTAGTTACGCCAAGGCTCCCCTTCTTTCACGGAATAACATGATGAGGCTTAAAACGATCATTGGATGGAATTTAACGATGGTTTTTGTGATATATATATATATATACAGCAAATGTTTTTGGTAAGCCAAAGCAAAACACTGATTTCTTGGCATACAACGGAGATGGATTCAAGTTGGAAGTCCCAGCTAAATGGAACCCCAGCAAAGAAGTTGAGTTCCCTGGTCAAGTTCTCAGATATGAAGACAACTTTGATTCCACCAGCAATCTCATTGTCACTGTCACTCCAACTGACAAGAAATCCATCACTGACTATGGCTCCCCTGAAGAGTTCCTCTCTCAAGTAATTACATTTTTCTCTCTCTCTCTCTCTAAGCATGCATTTTATAGACTGAAAATTGCACAAAAAAGTGATGAGTTTTGACCTTGTTCATATTTTGTCTGAGCAGGTGGACTTTTTGCTAGGAAAGCAAGCTTACTTTGGTAAAACTGATTCAGAGGTAAGTAGTCATAACTACAGTGAATGATTGTAAAAAGGATTTGTTGTTCTGGTTATTTGTAGAGTGGGAATACTTTTACATGGAACAAGTGAAGTAAGTCCTAGAAATACATGCCCTATAGTTTTTTTAATATCGATAGTGTCTGGTCCAACTTGCGCGCACCTACACTATTCCACTTAGAGGAGGAGCCAGGATTTGAAGTTAATGGGTTCAGGATTTTAATATTTTAAGCCATTCGGTTCTAAATTAATATTTTATACATATTCAACAGATTTTTTAAGACAAATACAGAGTCTGGATCAAAGTTATTGGGTTCAACCGAGCTCGTAGCCAAAGCGCTATGTCCACCCCTAATTCCATTAGGTATCAGCTATTTCCTACTAGCAGAGATACCGGATAACTATGTCGGCCTAAATGCCCTACAATTATCAACATTCAAGAGCAGATGTAGAGTATGGCCGTCGAGTTCATCTGAACCCAGTACTTTTGTCGCATAGCATAAATTTATGTGTACAAATTCATTAAAATTGCAATAAATGTTAGGTCTGAACCCATAACTTTAAAAATACAATGGGTTCAATGTTAAAAATCTTAAAAGTTGAACCCACAGAATCTAAATCATTGATCCGCCCTGTCAACATTTGTTTGCTAAAGCACTATCTATACTAGTGTATCAAATACAAAAATGAAGAGGGAATTTGTTGCTGCAGGGTGGATTTGAATCTGGTGCAGTGGCAACTGCAAACCTATTGGAGGCATCAAACACAACTGTGGGAGGAAAAGAGTACTATATCTTGTCAGTATTGACAAGAACTGCAGATGGAGATGAAGGTGGTAAGCACCAATTGATCTCAGCTACAGTAAATGATAGCAAACTTTACATCTGCAAAGCACAAGCTGGTGACAAGAGATGGTTTAAGGGTGCTAGGAAGTTTGTGGAGAATGCTACCACTTCTTTCAGTGTTGCTTAAAAATGGAAAATAGTAAAACCATTAGTATTAAGTTTGTATGTACTTAGTTCTCCCCCCTCTTAAAATAACATATGGTGCTGAGATGAGTTGCTTATTTGGACTTTCTTTTTTCTCTTTTCAAGCCACCCCAAAAAAGTTTGTAGAGATGTTTGAAGTATTGTTGGAGGAAGCTAATGTTAATAATATAATATTTTCTTTGCATATATTTGACACCCTTTTAGAGATGTTTAAAGCCCTGTTTTTTACTCTGTTAAAGGTCTTAATCTATATTGTTTGGAAGGGAAAAAGTGTAGTTCAAGAAGAGAAGTCATTTAACAACTCAACTCACAAGGCTTTAGTAACAGATAAATCTTGAGGAAAAATTATGCAATCATCTCAACAAAAAAAGGGCAGACCGGTACCAGACCGATACACTAAGCTCCCGCTATGCGCGGGGTCCAGGAAAGGGGCAAACCGCAAGAGTCTATTGTACGCAGACTTACCCAGCATTTCCGCAAGAGGCTGTTTCCACGGCTCGAACCTATGACCTCCTAGTCACATGGCAGCAACTTTACCAGTTACACCAAAGCTCCCCTTCAAAAAGAAAACTGGAAACTTTATGTTCACAAATTGAGTGCAAGAGAAAACAGAGGAGTTTGATCACTCCAGCTTCTGTTTTCTCTTCTTTTTCAGGTTATGCTAAGGACCAAAACTCACTTCTCATATGCAAATTTTGAGTTACTAAACCATAGGCAAGTTTTATAACTATGTATCGATAACATGCCCGCGAATAACAGTTAAATCCCCTCTTAAAACCCCTTCTTTTCACTACTTTTTTGGGAGATACGAGCAAATGACAGTGCATCCAACCTGTTCAAACTATTTGACTACTTCCCCAGCTTAACTTCAGTAAGACAAAGCAATCACTGAGAACAGAGATATGGAGAAAGTACATGAATTATTGATGGACTGAATGCAATTTTCACATTCTTGTTTGTCATAAATGTTTGCTTTGACATGAACGTAATGAATATACAGAGAACAGTGAACAGGGGTAAGAGATCAATCTTGTAAACATTACACACTGTCCTTTTGTATCTGGCTTCAGCTTCGCCCATTGCAGCAGTTCGCGCCATTAGTAACAGTGCCATGCTGATTCATATTTACTCGATTCAAGCCCCATATACGGATACTACGATCATCACTTGCCGATGCCAGCATATGAGGATTTGTTGGATTCCAGCTAACACAATTCACTGTCCCAGAATGTCCCGCCAATGTCCCAACAAGTTCACCCGAGCCTCTATGCCATATATAAACCTGAAAGTAATGTATAGACCAAGATCAAAGTCTCTCTCAAGGATATAAGACTAACACTAAGTTTATGGTATAGACTAAGATCAAAGTCTCTCTATAGAGAATACAAGGTCCGAATCCAACTGTCTACAGATAATAAAGATAACGTGGGCAAGGATATATAAATGGTCCGAAAAACTCTGAAAAACTGGAAATTTTGCAATAACGAGACACTCAATGACATGGAAAGAAGAGAGCATTTGAAAACCATGATTATTGAGAGCAGTGGTTATTACAAAGGCAGGATGTGGGTCCAAATAGGAAAATACACTTTACTCATGATAGAAGAAACTCAAAAAGAAAATTAAGCAGATTGCCAAAGGCAATTTTGAAATACTCAAACAACAGGAATACAACAGAATTAACTCTTTAGGGCATCATTTTACAAGAATCCTAGAAAATGCAAGACAAATAATGATGTTGCTTGCATATATGAAGCATAAACATGAAATGATTATATTCTAAAAAATCATAACTTGTTCACAGGACTTTTTTATGCTGGAAAACATGGTGTATGAATGAATAAACGAAAGAAGCTTTTTATGGTCAAAAGACAGACCATCTGCAATATGCAAACCTGATTTGAGGAATAGAATTGTCAATTTATTCATGTGCTAATATGCATACAACGCAAACCTCCAACGACAACAAAAAGTTCTGCAACATAAAAAGGCAGTGTGCTTCTAGATCAATAAGAGAAGAAGTACCTGTGAGTCCTCGCTTCCACTGGCAACGAAAGCTTGATCTAGTCCTCCAAAGCAAGACCTCACAACAAAACGAGAACGTTTATGCCCCTTATATTTGGTTATGAGTTTTACAGTTCCCTGTACATCCCAAAGATGAATTTCTTGGTTCCAAAGACTAACCAATACATACTTATTGTCCGTGGACAATACAAACGAGGTTATTGCTTGATCCTCTTGAATTACTTTCTCTGTTCTTGATTCCCATTCAAATAATACTATCGTATTTTCTTTACAAACAGAGACAACATGCTTCCCATCACTTGTTATTCCCAAGTCCGATATTCTAATAGTCCTGTTGCCTTTCCAACATTCCAGCTCTTTCCCTTCCAAATCCCACATGCTAATGCTTTTGTCAGTTACACCACAGAATATCCTCTTGCCATCAGGAGCCCATCCGCATGAGATCAAACCAAGTCCATTTTTCTCATAAATGCGTATACATTCACCGGACTCGACATCCCACTGTCTGACAACTTCTTCTACACCACAAGTGAGAATCTGATGGTCGTCAGGACTCCATGATATATAGGAGACAGGTTTTTGATGACCAGAAAATAGGTGCCTTAAGAAGACACCGTCCAATTTGACCTATAAAGAGCAGAAAATTAAGGGATGAACTTAAATGCTATCAACTGTCTGATTAGTTCAAATCTTCATGATCAACAGCTCTCTTTTCTTTCATACCCACCACTCCCTCCCACATAAAGACCATTTTTTTCTATTTAACCTTTTCTTTTTGAAAAAGGTAACATATTTTCTATTTAACCTTTAAACACCAACTTTTACTATTTAACTTTTACCAAAATGAAATGCACCTGATATTAGCATCTTAAAGTTTGGAGGAGAAAGAACCTTGCATATCACAGCTCTCAAAAATATAATCAAGCATCAAAAAGAAGAGGACATGAACCCAATATGTTCTATATTAATCCTGTTGATAAGCAAACAGAAGCAGTACAAGTACCAGCCATTATTTAAGGAGTAAATACAATATAAAACTCTGATTTCCAACTTACAAAGCTAGCTGAATAAAGCACATCATCGCATCTAGAACACCCTTAACATTTCTTTTCTAGGCAGTTTGTTCAAAATTCCTCCTTATAGTGAAGTAATATTGGCCTTCAGCTTTCATTTTTTCAAAAGTACATGGAACTCTTCCATGTGTTTATTTCTCTTGAAACTTAAAAAGGAAGGATCAATCATGATATGAAACACTATTCCCTCCGTCTCATTTTATGTCAGGGTGTTTGATTGGCCACAGAGTTTAAAGATGTTATTTTGACTTATACAATACATTAGCGATGATGGAAGAGTATATTAAAGTAGTATTGAAAAGACAACAAACATCACATCAAAGTTAAAGTGTGAATACTTTAGTGAATTTAAATTCTTAAAAGTTGTTTAAAATAGAATAGTGGAACATGCCAAATGGGAAGTGTGTCATATAAATTGGAAGGAAAGGAGTAATTATAATGGAACTAAAGCCAAAATATACTTTAAATTGATGTTGTATTCAACTAATATTCATAGACATGCACATCAACATTTAACATAGACATGCACATCAATGTTTTAACATGCCATCCATAACTATTTGGCAACATATTCACCTTTAGCCATTCCAATATAATAACTTTGTTCTTAACAATGGAATAATAATGAATAACTAAATCAATATATTATTGCAGGCAGAAAAATATATTTTAGCATTCCTTATTCAGTTCTGGATGAGACATCTATTACAATAATTGTCTAACTTGAACCATGAAATAGCTTGCACTATTCTAATCAGTGATAATGGACAATCTATGAGGCTAAATATTTTACATAGAGCCCAAGCCCCATGAAACTAACTCCTCAGTCTATATATAAAATCAGCTTGCAACTGATTTTTGCTTTTTGCTTTTTAATTTATTATGGACAAGTAAAAGAGACATTAAATAAATAAATTTTGGACAACTAACACCTCAGCCTACATAGGCTTCACTGCAATTCATGTGGACCCAAAAATACAAGCCATGACATTCTTTTTTTAACAGACTAAAAAAAGAAACAGTGTCACATAAAATGGAACAGAGGGAGTAATACATTAATTCACAAACTTTTGCTTTATATAAAACCCCAAGGGGCAAGGTAGGTCACCATTTTAATCAAAATGAATAACTTTTGGTTGTATTACTATATGAGGTTGGGGAAACCACGTAAATTGTTTGTTTGAGGACCCATACGTGGCATGCCATGAGACTCTGAAGCATACAAGAATGGCATCATCTCCGGATATTAATTCTTTAAGGCAGAAGTAAAAGACCATACGAAAGGAACTGCAACATAAGATGCACAAAGTGGAGAAAAGAAATCCAACAAAAAGCAAAGTGAAAATTGATCTAAATTGAAAAAACAACAATTGTTATGACAACAATATCAAGAGGATTTAAACATACCTCCCATATAATGACCGAACAATCAGCAGATGACGAGGCTAAGTAATTTCCATTATGGGAAAACTGCAAGAACCAGACTTCATCACTGTGTTCTTGTAAAATCTGGTGCAGTAGAAGCAACAAAGAAACAATTAGAGCTTAAGGTGTCTAACAAATTTGATCTTCAAAAATCAAACTCCAGTACCAACGATTGTTCTAAAATGACAGAGAACACAAAAACAGCTAGTTGACACATGTAAAGCTGGTAAAAATATCAAGTGGAAAGCCAGTGAAGCTCAAAATTCTCACGCACATTTACATTTCGCACTTTTACAACCCCCCATCCCCCACCCTCCCAAAACAAAGGCACATACTTTCTGCGTTCACTCACAGTGGATCCAACCACATCTTCTGGTTAAACACCCCAACTAGGTCAACTAGCAAATAGTATAAACAAGATGAACAACACTAGCTACGCCTTCATCCCAAACAAAGCCAAAAACTAGAGAATAAAAAGCACTTACTTGTTTACACATTGAACATACAGCGACAAAGGAAAGGGAGCTAAATTTCATGATTTAAAAGTTTGGCAACTATCCATCAAATGATTCAAATCATTGTGAGTTTGTGACAAAAGCCTCATAAATGGTGGAAACAAGCTCATTAAAGACCAGGAAAGCACAAAGCTCCCAGAAACCAATAGTGCTTACCGTTAACTGCAGCACCGAAGAAAGAAACCGCATTCACTATTAAGCTCGCTATGATACGACTGAACTATTCATATTAATTTGCTGAACAAACAGGGGCACGAACGAATATGCTTTTAGTTAGAGTTTCATGGTAGATGACTACTGAAAACGAACCGATATTTTGGAGATCAGCAGCACTGAAAACTGGAGTCGAATCACTGTTCTTCCTTTGCTATTTGGTGAACGAAGGATTACATTAGCTTCTAGATAGTTTGTAAATGTACTTTAGTGTATAGAACTATAGATACGCTGAAGCAGTTTAAATGGTTTCGTTTTGTGTGTGGATATTAACTTGTTACATTATTAATGGAAGTTCTTTTTTGAAGGAAGCGTAATGGTAAGAGTTGCTGCCGTGCGAGCAGAAGTTCAGTGGATAAAACCCGTGAAAACAATATCTTGCAAAAATCAAGATAAGATTGTCATGTGGTCTGGCCCTTCCTCAGACTCCTAGGAGGAGCTTAATGCACGGGGCTGCCTTTTATACGAAAAAGATAAAAGACTTATATTATTTTAAAACTTGATGCAACAATTTAATTGCTCCCCGACATGTCTTACAGAAATTTAACAATCTAAGAAACATCCCGTCCATGCTTATTAAAACAAGCCTTTTGAAAGAGCATATGCAAAAAAGGCAAAACCTTCAACCACAAAAAAGTTAAAAGAAGCAAGCATGAATTCAGTGAATGCTTTTCAACAGAACACCATCATATGTAATTCAAACAGTGATATAAAATAGCAGTAGCAAGGGTTTTAACCACAATGATTCAGAATGCAAAGGAATAAACTTGAATAACACTTGCCATCATATTCATTAACCACCATTTATATTCTCAGATAAAGATAGGACAAACTAGTGTGTGATTGCGAGATGCATTGAACATGTCTTACAATCAGCGGAATGCAAAAGCTTGTAGCACAAAAAAACACCCAAATATTGATGAGATCTAACCTGCACAGTTTGAGATGGAATATGATCTCTTCCGCACTTATGATCAGTGAGCAGTGACATTTCACCTACTACAGAATTGTGAAATCTACAAGCATCTAGTTGCAAGTCAAGAGCCTGTTGAACAAGATGTACCAATCTCTTTTCTGGAATCATAACTGTCGGGGGAAGCAAACTTTGCAATTCCTCTAAAAGCTTTGTACGTGACTTTACTCTCACTATACCTTGACCTGATACCCCAGAAAGAACCTGCTGAGAAGGTGATATAATGAAGGAGGAAAGCTGATGGACCCTATTATTTTCTATGGAAAGAGGTGAAATCTCGGTCCTCAGTGTCTTCAGGGCATCCAAGACTTTTTCTTTGTCCAGCAGTTCAAAAAACTTCTGCTCCAATATCACAAACGATGCCAACTTTATAATTTTTTCATCCACCAGACCAATTTTTTTCAATGTGGTTAAACTTTCATCCCATTTACCATCACGAATTTGCTGCATAAACAAATTAATGTCAGAAGAGTGCAAGGGTATCCCTGACTCTTCCTCAAGATGGGCCCCAGCCTTATTATAACCAAGAGAATACAATGCCTCAGTTATGATCCGAACAAATTCAACTTTCTTGACAACCCCTTTTGTACCAACAACCTCATCATCCCCTTGAAGATCCAGGGGCCGAGCCATTGAGTCACCCAATGAACAACTTGCACGATCTCTAACAAATGTCCCGTCCGAAATATCTACCAATTGTCCAGAGGATAACTTCACACGTTTTAATGGCGGTTCCTCATCCTCCCCACCTCCCATGAAACAAACACCTCAGCCCATATATAATAACAGGGGGAAGAAAAAACTGAAAAGTTGAAATTGTATGCCTAAATCCTTCAATTAACGAAAGAGACTCCTATGTAACACCAGAAAAGGAAATAACATAAAATTAATTAAATAGAAACAGAAAAAAGGGAGCAACTTTGAATGATCAAAGATTAGAAAAAGAAAACGATAGTAATGAGACAGCACGCAAAAGTGCAAAACACAGAGGTGAAAGAAAAAATCTGCAATTAAAGAGTATAGGCTAATGTTTTTTACAAGTACGAAATCATTTTATTGATGAAGATTGCGCAGCATTAAGCAAAAGCATCGGTTGATATCTATAACACACATACGTGCCCAATAAGTTATATGAAAGAAAATTGTTTGGAGAGATTCTCAACAAACAGTACTGCCAGTTTCAAACAGTCAAGAGCTCTTAACCATCCCCTATTAACACCTTAAACAGACAACTTAGAATTAAAGAGAATTACAAGATAAAATGCCATCACAAGTGCAACTAGTAATATAGGACGTGATGCCAGATACCAGTAATTGCTTCTGCCTTTCCTTTTTTTTGTTTCTTTCCTGCTTAACTTGAAAACTCAATAAACAGATGGCTCCTCCGGTACTAGAGATTTGGATCCATATACAAGGCACAGTGCATAAAATTTTCTTTTTAAGAACAATTCGAGAGAGGAGGGAGGGCCAGCCTGAAATAATAACTTAACAAACATACGGCCTAAAATAGAGATCCAGAAAGAAGGACTACTAATATCCAACCACTGAACAACCTGCCAGAGTATTGCTCCCAGGAAGTCCACATTAACATAAACAAAGGATTTGCTACCATTTTATTTGCATAACCTACTCAATCTTCTGAATACTAGCCTCTAGATCAAACAGATACCAAATTATGAAAACTGATGCAACACCAGAAGGAGATTACAGAAAGTACAGATGTTTTTACCAGTGAGCATGGTAACACACAAGTCCTCCATTAATCAACACTCAAGCTAGGTAGTTACTGTAAAATGAATAAATAAATTTGCCTCTCGATGTTTGCCCTTGGATGTTCAAATTCAATAGAAAAGAAAACACATCCTACATACGTTACAACTACTGACTTGATAACTCTATCCAGAATAGCTTAGCCACTAACGGGAAAAGTCTAGTCCTCCTAATCATATGCAAGGATGCCTTGAGGCCATAAATTGAGCCACAATGAACTGGAGTTATCAACACAATCTCTCACTCATTCGTTGCAAATATTTTCAAGAGCTGGCTACACAAGGTAATCATTCTCTCAAAACGACAAACAAGGTCTACCCTATTTCTCTACAAGATTCTTTGACCTGTTATATCAGATCTTGCCAAAAAAGTTAATTCCTCTCCTAAGCAATATATAAGCGCGCCCACCTAACCCCTCAAACCTGTTTTGATCAAGAGTGATAGCAACGGACACACATATATGCACAAGGTAGTAATGAATCTTAAGCCTTTTAAACCTAGTATCTATGATCAACAATGAACTAATTATGGACAATTGAACTCCAATATGCAATTGCATTTACAGTACATCTAAACCAGTCAACTCCATCAACAGCACAAACTACGCATCTTGATGAAAAGATTCAATGGGAATTCAAAGTCATCCAATAACAAACAAAGAGTTAGTGCATTACAACACTACAAAAACAACAATGGCACTACTTTATAGAATCTGTCACTAAGGTAAAGCAGGTAAAATAGTAAATGTCCTAATCGATAAAAGTAAACTTCTTGCAAAAGCTAATTCAACTCAAAATACATCTGAAGTCTAACTTAACTTATGCAAACCATAATCTTTTTTTAGTAAAAATAAGCATACTACAAACAATCACCCAAAAACCAACTCGCAGAAATCAGATTATAGATAATCCACTAACAAACAAAATCAAGAACGAAAACCAAAAAGCATTTCCGTACAAGAAAAGTAAAGATTACCAGAAAATAAAGAAGTGCGATTGGGGCAAAATCTGCAATTATCCAGAAAGTAATTTGAAGATTCAGATCAAAATGGATACAGAAACTGATTGAGCAAATTGTATCCTTAAGTTGTCGGCAAGCTAAGAAAGAGTAGTAGATTTAGGTGGGTAAAAAAGCAGTTGATTGGGAAACAAAAGAGGAGCTAAAGAAGGGTAAATGATTTGATTGTTGGGTTGGAAGTTAGAATGTGGTAAGAGAGAGAGAGAGAGAGAGAGAGAGAGAGAGAATTGGGTATTTGTTAATGGAGTTTTTAGGGGCAAGATTGTATGAAAAGAGAAATGGAGAAAAGTGTAGTTTGGCATTTTTATTTTACTTTTTACTTATATTATTAAGGGTCCCTTTGTGAGGGTATTATTTTTTGCGCGGTTTTAGGGGACCACCTCTCTCCATGGCTCTAGGGCGGTTCAAAATCAGAACTAGAACCATTAACCGAATCGAACTGATGACTTATTGGCATAGTATTGGATTATCGGAGTAATTGATAGTGAACGGATTGAGATTTTATAATTAACGGTTTAATGGTTTGAAGGCAGATTACTTAATTTTCTTATCGGGTAAACCACTGACCCGTTAAAAAAAATTATATTTACACTTGTACCCCTATGTGTATAAAGTACTATTGAAACTCTAAATGGCTAAATCCCTAATTTCTAGTATTTTCTAATTCTCTACTGTCTGCCGCCATTAGAGGCAGAGAAGTCGTCAGTCTCGTCTCTCTCTTGAACTGAGAACTGAGAAGTCGAAAAATTAAAATCTCAATAATTAATACGTGTATGTTTGTATGAGAAGTCTTGATGGTATTAAAATTTTGGTTAATAGATGTATAACGGTATGAGTAGTCTTGAAGACTCTTCAATTAAAAAATACCGTTTGGTTAGATCTTAGATGGTATAAAAATTTTGGTATTGATTTGAAATTGTTTGGTATTGATTGAATTATTGTTCAAAAACTTTCTATTTGGTTTAGCCGATAACCGCCCGATAATTGTTAATATGATACCAATCTGCCCGCTGTCTTATTGGATGGCTAGCGGAGTACTATATTTATAATCCGATAACCGTTAAGTTGAACCGTTAAGCATAATTATCCGCCCGATCAATCTGATAAGCACCCCTACTCAATGACTCTATGTTATAATAAGCTACTTATTATTTATTCTAAGTTATCGATCAATATTATTAAATAGAATTACGTGTAATTAACTATTAAATGATATGATTATTTACATGCATAAAATTTAAACTCATGCAAACTCTCCTAATTGATGAATTCAAATTTACAGAGGATTTATATGCTATCATCTATTTTAACTGCAAAAACATGTTTTTGTAGAACTTAAAACAAAGGCAACAACAACATATCTAGTATAATCGCATAAATAGGTAGGAGAAGGATAATGCGTACGTGGATCTTATTCATGCCTTGTGAAAATAGAGAGGTCGTTTCCGATAGAACCTCAGCTCAAAGAAAGCAACATATAATCATGTGATAGTCACTTACTAACAGCTTGTTTGGATGGTTGTTTACCTATTGGCTATTGTATTGTATCGTACTGTTACTTTAAATACAATATTTATTTTGCTTGTTACTTAACTTTTATTGTATCGTATCGTTAAATTCATCGTTACATAATGACAAAAAATATCACTTTATGTAACGACCAATTTGATGTGGTCGCATCGTTACATTCTTTCCTCTCTCATCTTGCCCTTCCTTAATATTAAATAATCATATTTTATATTTTATCCTACTTTTTTATATAATAATTCTATCACATAATATGCAAGTTTATTCTTCATATTATCGGTGCATGACAACATGAAACAACGACAAATAATACAATCTATCCAAACGTTGTAGTCCGTTTATCAAAATAATATAATAAAATACAATACAATACGATACATTTGATATTTTACTTAAAATACTACTTTTATTTAATATGCTTTCTATCCGAAAGAGAATTTATATAAAAACATAATTCACAATTTAAATATGATTCTCTAGCATCATCTATTTTTAAGTTTCAATAAGTTAATAAACTGACGCATAATTCACCATACAATATCATGATAACTAATTATTTGTAAATAGCTACTAGCTAATACTGAGATATTAAATTAATAAGTATTGTATCTCATAAACGTGAAAAAAATAATATTTAGAAAAATAATTATAAAAAAAATTTATGGACTATTGTATAGTAAAGACATAACAAAAGCTAATAAGTAAATACTTTTGAAATGAAAGATTTATTTAAAATTTACTATCATAGCAGTCTTAGCGGATAACAGGCTATAATTTTTATTTTAGTTATGACATAAAATACTCTCAACTAAATGATTTATGATTAAGAAATACGTAATTTTGAATAGTCAACGATTTGTTAAGAAAATTTGAGGATTTACAAGGTTAGTTACATACAATTGCATAAAGTTCTATTAGGCGAGCCTAGTACCCTGGGCGTTGGGCGTGTCCGGGGCGTAAGCCCCGGTGGCCGAAGCGTAAGTCTCACGGAACTAAGCCCCACACATAAGTCCAGGGGCGTTTTACGAGTGCTCCGCCCCGGGGCGAGTCCCAATTCTGCCTTTTAAAACAGAGACCAGAATAGATAAGATTAGGAATTTGTGACAATGTGATTGTGGTTTCTGTGGAGGATAAGATGCAAGAAGCGGACTTAGATGGTTTCGGTACGTAAAGAGGAGGGGTGAAATTCAAAAATAACCAGATTTATAAGTGGTAATTGGAAAATAGCCACAGTTTCAAAAGCAATCGAAATTTAGCCATTTTTCGTGTAAAAATAAATCTGAACGAAAACATTGTTCAAAATCCGAAAAATATTCCAGCATAATATACTGGAGTTTCAGTATAATATACTGGTCTAGCATAATATGTTGGAAGTTCATACACAGGTGCTCCAATCTCCAGTATATTATGCTGGAACTTTCCGTGTGTTATACACATGTGCACCAATCTCCAGTATATTATGCTGGAACTTTCCGTGTTGCAGCAAAATAGTGGTTATTTTTAAATGACTTTGCAAACGCCTACTATTTTTCAATGACCAATCCAAAAATTAGTTAGCCCGTTCTATTTTTACAAAGAGGAGAGGCAGCAATGCCCCAATAATGAGGTATGAGAAGTTGACGTTGACGGGTCTAAGGACATTAGTATTAGTGTTAGTGTTGTATTTTCTTAGTCATGGTTTTCTACTACTTTTTATTTTTCTTTTGTTTCAGTTTTCTTATTGGAGTGCTAATATTATTGGTTGTTGCTACAACTTTCTTTTTCATCTTTCTTGAGTTGAGAGTGTACCGAAAACAGTCTATATATCTTCTCAACGTAGGGGTAAGATATGCGTATATACTACCCTTCCAGACCCCAGTTTGTGAAAATTAAGTTCTATCCCTAAATATTTCGTTGATTAATTATAAAGGATAAACTGGTTGAGAATATAAAGTATATTACGAGAGGAACTGGCCTTTATTGTTACAGGACCAAGATACAGAAATTTATCGAATTTATATCAACTACACACGGAAAAATACAAGGTAAAAAGAAGAAGAAAATAAGGAGCATCAAACAGATTATGCATTTCTTGCTACATATAGTAAAGGATTAAGAATTTTTTCCACCAAATGAAAACTTAATCTCATGATATGACTTGATGCATTGAAAGATTACAGGGTTTAACATGAAAAGTATACTGCATTCTTCCACCATAGCTTAACAAAGGCCATGTGGTAGAATGTCAACTTCTATTAATATAAGCTCAAAAAATGTCTTATTCAAATAAACTGGAAAGTGTATAGAATGTAGTAGTCATTATCACTTTCAACTTGCGCCAAAATTTCAACCCCCCTAAATTCTCTGAGATATCTAGTTGTCAACAACCTCAATCAAGCTTGGCTCGTAATCACTTGGTGCCTCGTAGCCATGCAGATTCATAAAGGTTGCAGCAACGTTAGCAAGCCCACCAGTAGGGAGATCTTGGCGGAATCTCACACCGGGTGCCAGTCCAGGTCCACCAATTGCAATAGGAACCTATAAGGAGAAAAAAAGAATTATCGATCCCACGAACCAAACCAACAATAGGAGAGCACACATGCAATGATGCAGTTGCTAAGTTAAACCTTTCTTCCGAATTTCTAACCACTGTTTTCAATAACTCTTAGTATATGTTTCAATAGATTTTCATATTACAAAATCTCTGGAAAGATGACAAAGATAAGTATTTGATGTTGTCCTCATAAATAAACACAATCCTGAGATTTACTAATCAGGAGGTCCCCCTTACCCTCCTCCCTACTGGGGCGGAGCTAGAAGCCCGGCAACGAGTTCAGCCAAACCCAGTAAATTTTGCTCAAACAATATATTTGCGTTAAAATATTCATTAAATATGTAGAAATATTAAATTCAGAACCCAGATATTAGCACTCAAAGTCATCGTTCTAAATTCCCGAACTCATAAAGTTGAAATTCTGGCTCCGCCTCCGCCTCTCTGTACTAATCAATGTCTCCTTTCTCGCTAATAATATTCTTCTAAAACAGCTGGATCTGATGTTAGGGTAAGGAACTGCTGGAAGTATTAGAATAATGCATGCTGTTCCAGTTTTCTATATCTCAGATCGCCACGCGAAAAAAGAAAAAACAGATACAAATTTAGGTTCTCATTGCAAAAAAAAAAAAATGAATGAATTACTTACAGGTTCACAAGTGTGAGAAGTGAGTATCTGAATATTCCCGTTCTTGTCAAGAGCTGGCTCTCCCTTCTTATTTCTCTTAACCATATCTTCAGCATTTCCATGGTCGGCAGTAACTAGATATATTCCACCAACTTGTTCAATAGCATCAAGGATCATCTGCAAGAAAGATAAGTCACAACCATTACTGATGTACAATGACAGCTATCATCGCAAAACATTAAAGATATCACAAAAAGGTAAGAGAAAAATCTTATGACACTCGGAACAATTGAATCCAAAGAAGCATCATTACCTTGACAGCCTCATCAGCAGACTTGCAAGCTTCAATTGTTGCTTTGATATCACCAGTATGCCCCACCATATCACCATTAGGTAGGTTCACACGTACCTAATAAATAATTTGAAACCACGGTAAGCTTGCTATTTTAAAAAAAGAAAGTCTTGTTTGAAAACATGAACACTGATAAAGCAACTCCATATATTACCTGGTCAAATTTCCCGCTAAGGATGGCATCTCTAGTCCTTTCAGCAATCTCCAGCGCCTTCATTTTTGGCTTAACGTTAAATGTAATTCCACTGTCACTTGGAATTTCCACGTACTCTTCCAATTTCTCGTTAAAATACCCGGAGCGATTTCCATTCCAAAAGAAGGTGACATGACCAAATTTAACAGTCTCGCTGTTTAAACAAGAGTAAGAGTTGTTAATACTAGCTCAAAAATAATTATAAACTCTAGTATAGATGTTTCTTCATGTGGAATATTTTATTATGTAAATGGCATATCAATCTATCGAATAAACTCTTAATTGTATCTCTAATTCCTTTTTTCGAACACTAAAGGTTGTTTTACTTCCAGGTTTATGTTAATAAAAATAGCAGCAGCCTATACGAAAATCAGACATGAACAAATAATAAGATATCACATCAACTTACCTGCAAGCAAAAGTCCGAACACCATTGCGCACTAAATACTCCCCAGATGTCCTGTCAATTTCTGGAGGAGAAACGAGGTAGTGGCTTGGAAGCTGCAACTCACCATCATATTGGAGCATACCAGCATAACGGATTTTAGGGACTCGTACACGATCAAATTTATCAAAGTTCTCGTATTCAAGGGCCTTTGCAAGCATGACCATACGATCTGCTCTGAAGTTGAAAGTCACAACAGCATCACCGTCTAAAATAGGCCCAACGGGCTTTCCATTATCGTCAACAATAACAAAAGGGGCTAAGTACTGGTCGTTGGCGTTGGGTTCCTGCCTCAACTTTTTAACTGCTTCAACGGGATCCTTGAACTTGTGTGGAGCCTCACCAAGAACTTGAGCATCCCAACCTCTTTTTACGACATCCCAGTCATTCTGGCATTAAACGAATAAATGATAAGTAACAATAGGATACGAAGAATGAAATCCCAGAAAGTTTGTTTAAAGCATAGAAATTGGTATGACAACTAATGACAGTTGATCAAGTCAACTTGATCAAATCGGCCTGCTCAGAACAGCAGAGAAAAGCAACCGAAGGAAAAAGTACTCTAGAAGGTTCAGAAGAACTGTTTATATCACAAACAACAGAACACGTCAATGTCAATGTAGTATGGTAGTACCCGAAAAGTATTGTATTTTGAAACTCTTTTTTTTTCCCTTTTTTGATAAGCAGCGATGTGTTATTGGTGTCTGTTAGGAATACTATAAGGTAAATAAACTATAATTGAGGAGAATATTGTATATACAGTTAGGACCAATTAGGGAGTGAGATTGTTAGTATACTAGAGGATTCTATGATGTAAATTCTGATTCTATCCTAGCTTAGCACATTCCTCTACACCTTTTGAGCCCCATAGCTCGAAGGAATATTCAAGCTCAGAATTATCAAAATCTCTTCATCTCTTCATTCATTACATGGTATAGCCAGATCTATCCCTATTGTTTGGTTATCCAATGTTGAGCCTCTATGTTATGTTATCCACGCTGTAGTTGTTTAGTTCTGGGCGTACAGGTGTTTGAATATCCCACATTAGTTGAAGGAATGGGTTCTAGTTTCTTTATATGGTCTTGAACAAAGTCTTCACCTCGTGAACTAGCTTTTGGAGTTGAGTTAGGTCCCATCTCATTTTATTTATGAGACAGCTACAGACATTAAATGTTGATGTCAAAAAGAGTTGGTACAACAATATACAGTTAAAACTAAGACTGGAGAGCAATGAAACGGATTTGCTTCTTGAACAAGGAAATTAAGACAGAAGACAGTTAAGGAAGCAGTAGCACTGAGCAACAACAATAAATTTTATCTGATTATATTATTCAACACCAATCATATACCTAGACAAGTTGAAGAAATAAAATTAAATGAAATTCTATCAAGCCAGTGTTGACTAAAAGTCTCTTTAACAGATTATTGAGATGAACTCTGATGAAGGGTGCTTCTAGCTTTACGCAGGACATCAGAAGCTTTGACCAATATTAAAAGCCACAAATTTACCTCATATCGATCCATGGTAACATACATACGACCTCCGCCAGATGCAACCTGGGCATCAATACCTTTTTCACGTAATTGTGCAAGAGAATTCTCAAGATCCTCCATGAAACCCACACTAGAACCATCTAGAACATCACGCCCATCAGTGAGGGCATGGACGCGAATTCTTTTGGCACCATGCTCAGCAGCACCTTTCAGCAACAACTGCAACAAAAATCAAGATTACATGTAGCAACCTCTTTTGGCACTAGAAAATTCAATTAATATACCGACTTAAGGAAAAAAACGTACTCCCTTTATTCCACTTTATGTGACACTATTGCTATTTGGGGAGTCGAACAACATTCATTTGACCACGTCAGTTGAAAATACTTTTAAATATTTAATTACGAATTATTACTTTTTGTACAGTTTCTATACATATTATTTCAAAAAAAAAATTGAGAAGGTAACATATTATTTTTAAAAAATTGAGAATTCTATGCTCGAATTCACACCAAAATTTAGTCTGTTTGACCCTCGTACTCCGAGAAGGTTCACATAGAGTGGACGGAGTGAGTGATTGTTATTGACTTTGAAGTGAGTGGAAACCAATAGGTATCTGGAAAACGTAAATCAATCATCACTGTATTGTTTAAAAAACTGACATGCATACCTGCACTTGATCAAGCCTGGAGTGGACACCTCCATCACTCAAGAGTCCAATGAGGTGCAAAGTTCCTTTTTCAAAACATTCTTTAACGTACTTGAAACCTTCTCCCTCATATATTTTACCAGAGGCAAGGGCCAGATCAACAAGCTTTGCACTACAAAGAAATACATCAGAGACAATAATAAGCAACTACCTTTTTTTTTTAAAAGAAAAAATACCAACGTAAGAATAGCTACCCTAGCCCAGTGATTGCATAAAATCATATGGAATCAGGCAAGTATGACCAAGTCCTTAATCACGAATGGTGCTAGAAATAGGCTCAAAAACAAAACCGCTTGTTCTGCGATGTGGAGCCGTGTACGGAGGTACAGCAACGGCGGAGCCAATAAAGGAGAGAAAACAATTAATCCACAGATTGGTGTTTGCTTCCTATTTCTGTTTATTTTCTTTCTCTTTTGTTTGATTAGTTGAGACTGAGTGTTTTGGACTAAACTCCACTCAGTTCTAAAGTAACGATTTTTTTTCCCTAACATATTGGTTGAAAGTAAGGACATCACAACTTTGTTGCATGAATCATATAACATTAACTATAAACAACCAATCTCAAACTGAATTAAACAGATAAGAATCCCCAACAAAAAACAAAAATTTAAACAACCTACAAGATGTCTGAATAGTCCAGCAAAAACATGTTTTCAAAAGACAACAAAAGAATAACATGTAAAGGAATTGTCTTTCATATGTATATGGGTTAAAAAGAGAAGCAAAGAGCTCACCCTTGAGCAAAGATCCTTCCAGCACCAAGAGCATTGTGACCAACCTCACTGTTGCCCATGTCATCCTCTGTGGGAAGCCCCACAGCATTACCATGTGCCTTAATCAATCTCCATTTTTCAGGAGCACCCTATAAAAAGATTTTATCAAACACCCAGATAAATAAAACAAATCATAAATTCATAAAACAACAAAGAATAAAACAGCTTAATCGGTCTCCATTTTTCAGAGCATGTATGAAACAAAATTTAGCAAACACCCAGATGAATAAAACAAATCTTAAATCCATAAAGCAACAATCTTTAACCAAAGAAATTCAAATAAATCAGTTCAATGAGCTTAATCAATCTCCATTATTTAGAAGCACCCTATAAAATAATTTTTTAGCAAAAACCCAGACAAAGAAAACAAATCATAAATCCATAAAGCAACAATCTTTAAACAAAGAAATTAAAAAAAGCATTTACATGAGCTTTTCTAGGAACACCATATAAAAGATTTTTAGGAAAAACCCAGATAAAAAAAACAAATAATAAATCCATAAGTTACAATTTAACCCAAAAAATAAAATCTTACATTTTTGAGAGAGTCCATAACAGGAGTTTCAGCAACATGGATAGCATTAAACTCATTAGGTTTAGCCTCACCCCAACCATCCAAAACAATCACAGCTACTGTCTTTCCCTTTGGAAGTTTAGGGTGGTCTTTCAATTTCCATGCATCTCCTGAACTTCCCATATCTCAGATCTTAAAATTTTCTTCACCCAAAAAAAAAAAAACAAGAAAATTAGTACATCAATCAGATCTGTACGGTCAAATCTAAGAACATAAAAGATATAAACATAGATTTATGTAAAAGAGGAACTACCTTAATACAGATGAGGCGATATAGTAGAGGAGAAGAGAGAGCAAAAAGTGTTGTAGTGGAGAAACTAATGAACGAGTGATGGGGGTTTTTATTGGATTGCTGAGCTGAAAAATCGGAAGCCTACACTTGTTGAACAAATAAAAAAAGAATATTGTAGAAAATTCACAACAAAAAAAAAAAGGAAAACTCGAGAAAAGTGAGATGAGTTAGGTATGTCACGTGAGCTAACACGTGAGAATCTTGAAAGAATATTTAGATTTTTATTTAAGTGTTTAACTATGGACGATGTAAAAAAATGTTATACTGTTATAGCATACTTTTACATATTATAATAATAATTTAATTTATTTTTAAAAATAAATTTTTTACATGATTACCTGTAATATGATTTACAGGTGTATATAAGTTAAAAGTCTTTTTTAGTTTTGGTGATAAGGAGAAAGATCTAAAGATGCATGACTGGTGCACCAATAGTACAAAAACAAGTAAAAGGAAAAAATATTATTTTGAGTGGAGAAGGGAAAAGAAAATAAAAACGGAAGAAAAGAAAAAAGCTACGTATTAATAGTGATGGTTCACGTTGTTTTTGAGAAAACAATTATTAAAATGGAATAATTGTGAATAATTGTTTTAAGTCAAAGGGGGAAAAAAGAGTTAGGCGTGAATGGTGATGAATTACGCTGTTATTTTTAGGAAATTATTATACAAAAAATATGTTTATTACGTTTTTCCTTTTTCTTTTTTTTTTTCTTAAATAAACAAAGGGAGGGTATATGCTAAATGTGCCGAAGTAGTTATGCTTGACCAGCAAGAAAGTGATGTTTCAGGAGGCAGCTTAGTAATTTTCATAAATCACTATAGTTTATCTAATTATTATTCGTAACTACTATTTAATTATCATTTATTTGTATCACTTATATTCAAACGCGCAACCATGAATTGTATTTGTTTGCGCAACGGATACAACTAAGGCGAAATACAAAAATACAAAAAAATAAAATGCTCTTATTGAAAGTTGAACTCAAAACCTCCGCTAACTAAGCAGGAGCTCTAACCTATGGAGTTGAAAGAGCTAGTTGCCCTCTTGTTTTAGTTCAAAATAATTAATATCTTATTTCATGAATTTCCTAGGAAATTCAAATATAGCTACAAATAGTAAATTTACTGAAGCTGCGAGTGATAAATACAGTATAAATGTTTGATGTGTCGCGAATTTTCCCCTCCTCGAAACATATTTCTGTCACTTTAACTTTTGGTTGGAAAAATCAATGAAAGGTGTCTATTTTTTTCTGTCAAAAGTTTGCGTTTGATAGGGTTTGCAAAAAAAGTTACTACGTAATATATCTTTTTACAAACTTTGAATTTTTTTAAGCTTTTGAAAAACTCCTAAAAGTTCCTTTTAAGTTTTCCAAAAATTGAAGAGAAGTGTAACCTGTTTTGCAAAAACTGTCGAGCGAACACCAACTTCAAAAAAAAAAATTAAAAAAAAATCAATCCAAAAATAAATTGGCCAAAATCTTTTTCATCCAATTTTCCTTCGACCAAACACTATGAATTTGATCTTCCATATATTAGGGATTTCACATGGAAAACTAATGAAACCATAACTATGAGTGAGATCTAGTAGCAAAGCTCATACAGATAACATTTGAGGCATCTATGGGTTTTTTTTTCTTTCATGAAAGAAAATTCCATATGGGTCACATAAAGCATTCGGGTTCGCCTGCAATTGAGTGTTCGCAGAATTCCAATACCAATTTTAACATAATTAGCTCCACATTTTTATTATTCTTTAGTCATCACATTTTCTTCTCTTTGATCTACATTAACACCATCCACACGTCCGAAGTGTTCCTCAAATTTAGATCTATCAAGAAGGAATCCTTGGAGCAACAATAAAGTTATCTCTGTGTGACTGCGGCTCTTCCCCGAACCAACGAGGAATGCTTTGTGTACCGAGCTGCCTTTTTTTATTGGGTAAATTGATCAAGTACCCAATTATGTAGCAATGCAAGCTCGCATCTGACTCGTGTCATTAAGGAAATAAATAGAGGAAGAAAGATCACTATTTAGGGCAAAAGCACATATGACAATGGTCCAAAAAACAATGCTGCAAATTGGTTTTGTATGGGTTTCCTAACAGCTCCATTTTCAACCCACACATTTAGCATAAAGACCATCAGTGCTCCCACACATCCATGTGCATCAACTATTTTCTTACGATTTAATGGTCAGTATTCTGCACATCTGAGATCATAAACTCACTAGGTTGCAACCATAGTACTGGTGCCTTCAAATAAAAATGTTCAAGGCAATCCAGAATTTACAAATGACTTCAGCCCCATGGGCAATACAGAATTTACAAATGACTTCAGCCCCAAGGCTCAATTCATGCTTTGCTTCTCGTGTACAACTCAGTATTTATGTACAGCTCAATATCTATAAAAACACTTGTATTATAACTACCATCATTAACGCTAATATGTAACCAAACACTTCATTTTGTAACTAACTGAATTTCTAAGCAACTAACGTCATGTTCCTTCCCTTCTAAGTGGCCATTGCATAAACTAGTTAAAGATCAATCCAAGCCTGAGTAACTCTTCAAAGAGCTACCAAAGAACATTTAACCAATAAAGCACTTTTGAACAAACCAAGTTCTTCTGGTATCATACACTGGTTAAAGAACAATCCAAGCCCGAGTAACTCTTCAAAGAGCCACCAAAGAACATTAAACCAATAAAGCACTTTTGAATGAAACAAATTTCTCCTTTCAGTCTCCTTTTTTTGTGTGAGGAGAGGAATAATGCAGCAATGGGAAAAATAATTTTGAATAATGCCGAAGTCACAATTGTTGTATCTGCTAGGATGTAACATATGCAATATCTCAAGTAATAGAACTTCATGCATAAAAGCATACAATAATTAATTTTTAACATTTAAATACCAAGGGGAAAATTGAGCTGCATAGTGAATTCATAAGATTAGAAACAGCAAATGTAACTAATCTTCAACTTGATCAAAATCAGTTACAAACTTCCAGCTACCGCAGTACATTCACTCAACAACTATCCCTTATTATGCCACTTATAATGGACTGACATACAAGAAATGCAACTTTCAGGCAAAAGACATGTAAACAATAGCATAAATCCGGGATACCTGCGGCAGTCTCAAATATTTATAACTTTCAAAAGCCACTCATGATAGCTCCTCTTTCCTAATAGCCCGCTTTACAAGTTCATGATCATAAAAATCAATGGAATGATCAAATACATTTAACAATTTAAACAAGCGATCACTCAAAAGACCCAAACCAATTCATATTAAGCCAAGCTAAACCAATACAATGGAGTATATTATATTCCACTACTAAAATTGCATAAAATTAAAGACCACAAAAACAGAGCCACATACATATCTCAGCCTAAATTTTCCAATCAGCTCAAAATTTTAATACAATTAAACATTGCTATAATTAAAAAAAACATAAATTAAAACATCTCGTTCAATCTGGCAGTAACAGATCGAAGCTTAGAATAAACCTTACCAGCAGGAGACCCCATGATAAGGCTACAGAGCGAATCCCTAGCAATCTTAATATTGGTAAACGATCCCAATATATGAATCTTAGTATCCGCAATTACAATCCTCGTCTTCGTCGCGTTCTCTATAGCAAATTTCGTCTTTCCTCCTTTCCCTGACAATCTACCAATAGCCCTAGACAAATGCTCCCCTCGCAGCGTCTTCACATCCTTAATCTCAAACGAATCAACGTACAACTCGTCGAGACGGAGCAATGCTACGGCATCACATGTGTCGAACCCTAGCATGAAAGCGTGGACGAAGTCGGCAGATTTTTGGAGGTTGCTGATATCGGGTGTGTCGGGTCGGGTTTTGAGCTCAACCCGACGTTTCTTGAGGTTCATTCGGATATCGATTTTCATCTGCTCGTAGATTGGATTGTAGATTTCAAGCCAAGCTTTTTTTAACGGAGTGTAGCGGTGCTGTGGGACTGTCACTTTCCGGAACTGAACTTGGCCGTCGGAGATTTCGTGGGCTTTTAGAGGTTGGAAATTGGGTTTTACCGGTAGAGTTACCGCCGGTTTCTCTGTCGGAGGAGGATTGTCGATTTCCATGGTTGGCGCTGGACAGAGAGAACAGGAAAGGGGACGAGACTAGGGTTTTTGAGAGGGGTTTGTAAAGGCAACTGTGTAGACTATATACTGGTTTAGAATTCTGCTGGACCAGTGCTTAAGAGCCCACTACTATTGGGCTTATTTTCAAATATGGACAACAGTCAACATATTGTTGAAAGAAAATTTTACTCCTGTAGCAAATTATTAAGAGATTTTTACATTCCTATGCCACATAGGAAACCTTATTACCCTCAATGTTTAAAGTTTGACTTAATTACACTTAATATACCAAATTACCAATTCTATATCATAATTAATTATAGGTATAATTAATTGTACATTTTTTACTCCTTAATTAAAGGAATCTGCACGTTTTTCTCTCCTAACCCCTCAGTCCCACCCACGTTTTACCATACCCACGTTCTTTTTATCATTTTCCATCTTCTAAAACCGAATTCTCCCTCTAAATTCACAGAAAATTGAAGAAACCCTTCAACAAAGTTGGTTCCCCATTTTACTCCAGTTGAAGTTCATCAATGAAGAACAACAAAGTTCATCAAAATTGAAGTCAAATCTTCAAAGTTCATACACACATTTACCTTCAGCTTCAAATTTTCTCAATGAAGAAGAACAAACCTTCAAAGAGACAAGAGAGCAGCAATTCCACCATTGACAGCCATTAAAAAGCGTTGAAGCTTTTGAATTCAAATTTGGGTTTTCAAAAATCATTATTTATTTTGATTGGGTGTTCTTTAAAATAATTGAAAATATGTTTTGGAGTTTATATCTCAATTTTGAGGGGTTTTGGTGAAGATTAGACTTGGTTTTGACTGAAATTCAGATTGAAACTCGAAGAAGAAGAAGAAGAAGAAGAAGAAGACATATTGCAGAAATTGTAGAAAAATTATTGAAAAATTGTAGATAAATTGTAGACTGTTTTTTGCAGAAGATTTTGTAGAAGTTTTAGTCGTTTTGGATTTGTGAAAACAGAAAACAATGCATCTACAATCAGAATACAAATAATCTACAATTTATCTACAAAATATCTACAAACTGGATACATTGAATTTTAATATCCCAATTCCCATTTCAATTGTAACATAATTGGCATTTTCGACATAATTGCATTTTTTGCAGAAGATTTGTAGAAGTTTTAGTCGTTTTTGATTTGTGAAAACAGAAAACAAAGCACCTACAATTAGAATACAAATAATCTACAATTTATCTACAAAATATCTACAAACTGGGTACATTGAATTTTTATATCCCAATTCCCATCAAATTGTAGCATAATTGTGATTTTGACATAATTACGTTTTTCAGAAGATTTGTAGAAGTTTTAGCCGTTTTTTATTTGTGAAAACAGAAAATAAAGCATCTACAATCAGAATACAATTTATCTACAATTTCTGCAATATGTTTTCTTCTTCTTCTTCGAGTTTCAATCTGAATTTCAGTCAAAACCAAGTCCAATCTTCACCAAAACCCCTCAAAATTGAGATATAAACTCCAAACCATATTCCCAATTATTTTCAACAACACCCAATCCAAACAAATAATGATTTTGAAAACCCATATTTGAATTCAAAGCTTTCAAGCTTTTTAATGGCTATCAATGGTGGAAAATATGTGGAAGAATATTTACTTCCATAATTGTAGCGCGCCTAAATAGGAATATCTGGAAGAATATAATTTGATCTGATTTACGCCAAATCTTTTTAGAATATTCTGTTCCTCAATTTTAGCTCGACAAATTAGGAAGATTCAGCTACTATTAATTAGTATTTAATGATTGGTATAATAACTGTAGAAAAAATATGGACAGAACGGGTAAATTAGAAACTATGCATATTTTTTATAATAAGCTCTCATTATTAAACACCCTATTTATAAATCAAAACAATTTCAAAGTATTATTACTTATAGCTATTTTTTATATTTTATAGCAAAATATATATTTATTATATACACTACAGATGAGGCGTGAAATATGCTAATTATGTTTTTTCTATCTCTCTCTGCCCGTTAGCACACGATTTTTCTCTCTCTCAGCAAAAGATTTTTGGAGCAAATTTCTTAGAATGAATCCACCACGATTTTGCTCCTAAAAACCGAGGTTCATTACTAATTGGTAAAGTACATGGCTGGTTCTTCCTTACTACTCTGCCATTCTTATTTTTCTCTTTGCTCTCCTTTTTAATTTTTGCCATTGTTAGGTTTTGAGGAAGAAACTTCCTTAATGGTTGATTCAAGAACCCTGAAGAAGTATGCACAAGGTATATCCACTAAAATCCTCAATATTGTATTAATATTGTCATGATTCAAGCTTGTATTTTGTCTGTATTTTGGGATACAATGAAAATAATGTATTCATGTATACATGTATTCGAAGTTAGAAACCATCTATTTTAAACACAATCAAAGTATTGTACCAACCTAGTTGTATTTATCTGTATTTACTTTTTTGTGGTGTTTGTATGAAGGAAATAAAATTCTTTGTTAAACACCCGCTTACTTCATCGCCGCATACTTGTTCATACACTAACACCGACATGATCTCCGACCTCAAAGAAAAGCTTAGTCCACAACAATACCAACTCTTTGGTCAAACCTGTTTTGGTATAGTCCTCGGTATAAAGCATTGTAAAGTTCAACATCAATTGTTCAGATGCTTCATGGCACAAGAGCTTAAAAAAGGTTCTCTTGACGCATTTCTTATACATGTAAATGGCACAACATTGTGCTTTTCACTCAGGGAGTTTGCGTTAGTCACTGGTCTAAATTGTGTTGGTGGTGTCAAAGATTTTAAGTTCCACACAATGAGGCATAACAGGCTTGTGGATACATACTTTGGCGGAGCAAAGACTATGAAGAATAATTTGATAAAATGCTTTAATGCCGAGAATTTGGGTGGTTAAAATAATTGTGTCGTATTTCATACATACATTCATATTATCAAATGAGAAAAATTGCACAACCATTCCAAGACAACATTTTGACTTGGTCAAGAGCGAGAGATATTGTGATTACCCATGGGCTAAAGAGACATTCATCGCCCTTCTCAAATCTATTAGCCGGAAGATGGATTCCTAGAAGAAATATTACAGGATTGCTGGCATGCCTCTTGCTATGCAAGTATGGCTGTACGAGTGTTGTTCAAAGGTCGATCCCAAAATTGCACTCCGAGTTGACAACCAGATTCCCAGAATACTCAATTGGAAGTCCACTGACAACCAACCACCATTTGCTTATTTGATGAATGGCATGTTCAACGACGAGGAAAATCGGGTAGTTTATTCTTATTTTACTGACTGATATTACATACAGTCAGTAAAATAAGAAGGTAGCTATAAGTAATATTTTAAAATTATTTTGGTTTATAATAAATAAGGTGTAATAGTTTGTTATAGGATGTAAAATTTCCTAAAAATATCGCAAGAAAGAAAGAAAGTATGGTCCAAGGTCCATTTACTTTACATGCACAACAATGTAATTTCCAACTAATGAATAAACGACTTAATGCTCCAAGAGTTGCAAACAAAAAAAAAAAGTTTAAAAATAAACTTACGCTTTTCGAAGATGGGGAAATTACTGTCCCAAGAAATATTGGTAATGTTACAAAATTTCCTGACATGGAAATTTTTATAAATGTCTGTGGAATTGATATCAGATGTGCTATAAAACCCCAGCTGCAGTTTTTATAGCCGGCATGTTTTGGCTAAATAATCACATCCTTCGTAGACCTCCAAACCTGGCTGGCCAAGATCATCCTCTTTAAAGCAAGCACATCGTTTGCTCATTTTTCCGGTCAATGCAATCTGCTCAGGTCGTTGAACTAATCTTGGATATCCATCGTCGCACCAAACCTGAAAAATGAAATAATATTGCTACTTAGCAAGCGTTTAGAAGCATGCAATGACATTATCTGCAATATCTCTACCATTACAGCAGTACATAAAATTGAAGTTTCATTCTGTACAGCATACAGGATTCAGGAACAAGAGCCTGCCCATCTAATTTTGTTCCCTTTATCGAGAATGACACACAAACTATTTGAAAATTCAATTGCGGAGAAGAGACATTTGCAGGAATGTGCTAGTTGGAAATCCATTTTTCGTACGCTTAACTTTTGAAGAATACGAACTAATGTACAATCATATCACAACAATCACTTGTTTCTTGGAGAAGCACGACAGGATACGTCCCTCCTCTCTTAAGTTTGAACTGAAAAATTGTATCGATCCCATTACCTTTTACTTTTCGTCCCTGTCCATTGTCTGAAGACAGGGGAAGCAGACGGAGGGAAAGTTGAAAGTTTTCCCTTCCCTTATTTGGTTAGGAAAGAGTGGGACGAACCAAGATGACTTGCATACAAAAACATCTCCTTCCCCATCAAATTGTCTCCCAAGGAGAAAGTCAGGACAAAACAGAGAAATAAAAAAATTCATTGGAAAATAAAAAACCATTATCATTGGCCTCAACCAAAATAATCACTTTCAATTGGGCTCCAAGCAAAGGGATAATGTATTATCCTACGAAACTCCGCGTTCTCACCCTAAAGCAAACAGGGAAAGGAAAGCTATTACCTTTCGTCTTCCTTTCATTCTTCCCCTACCGATACCTAATTTTTAAAAGGAAAATCTTTGAGGTACGGAGTTTGGAACACTGAAAAAAGAATTATACCTCTGAACCCTCTTCTTGACTCCATCTTGAATTACAGCTAGGTAGTTTGGCCTCTTCATTCTTCTGTTTTTCCATCAGCTGAGCACCTCTAGCGGCCTTTGCTTCAGCACCTTTTAAGTACTTTGTTGGATTGCCTTCACTGTCATAATAGCGTCCCACTAGCTTACCGACAAATCTGCCAGAAGGGAAGCGAGTTAGAGATCCATTCAATTCTTTGTTATTGCTTTTTAGTCGCCAAAAAACATGAGATATGAACCAGGATTTAATTTATTTTATTTTGTTCTCCATTTTGAGCCGAGGGTCTCCCGGAAACAGCCTCTCTACCCTAAGGGATAGGGGTAAGGTATACATACACTCTACCCTCCCCAGACCCCACTAGTGGGATTATTACTGGGTTGTTGTTGTTGTTCTCCATTTTAATTAGCAGAGAAGAGTAAAGTCTAATCCTCCATTAGGAAGAAACTATTCCTTGATGTTCTGCAGAAATATCATGGAAATTAAATAGTAATAAATCGGAGTTTTGAATAAGAAAGTGAAAACATTGCTGATAACCTTTCAAACAGATTAACTGTTTGCATTTTACATTGCCAAACTAGAGATTAAGAAATTTGAAGATGAATTACTCACGTGTATGTTCTGAAGTAGAAGTCTCTCCAGTCAACAATACTTTTAACCTATACAAGTGAGATGTCGAAAATAAGTTCTTCCATATCAAGACAAAAAAAGACACAGCACACTTAAAAGATAAACCTGCAGACTGATATTAATACAACTTCAGTACAATTCAATAAAAGGAAGCAGACCCACTGAATGACAACAGAACATCATACTACCTCGGCACTGGATAAACCGTGCAGTGAGTCAGTAAGTCCATCTCCTGAATTAATATAGAAGAAAAGAACTTAATTTTAGAAGCCACAAATCATCAAGACAAAACCAAAATATAAGAATCATATTTCATTTATATCACGGAAATAGAGAGAGCAAGCAAGCAAGAAGTTCAAATATCACAAGTACTGCATTTAGCTATTTAGGCATCAGTCTTGTTACACTTTACTGGTTTCAAACTATGTAGAAGCAAGAAAAGGGAATTCTCTTTAGCAGGTTATTATTTGTGTCCAGAGTGAAAATCACAGCTGGAATTCTTTAAAAGGCAAAATTTATTGCTTAAATGGCTTCAAACATCATAATTCATAGTTCTCCGTTTCTTTTCCTAATATAAATTGTTGTAGGAAATCGAAAGATTTACAGAAATAGACAAGATCAAGCACATTCTTTAAATTATATAGATTTCAAGCTTGACTAAACTTTGTTTTTGATAAGTTGCACTTGATTAAGTCTAAAGAGTCTAGTCCTTACTTAGAAGCAGGAATAATAGGTATTCTTTTCCCTTCTATGAAGCCCCGTAAAAGAGAACAAGTTAAAGTTCGTACTGTCATAACAATAATTCAATTGATAGAAAACCAGAGAGCATAACTTTCAATTTCTAGCCTCTTTCACTACGGATGTTGTGAAGCTCCCCAATTTACTGCTTTCATTCTGCATTCGCCTTCTAGCTGAAGCTTTTGCCCAGTTTCAGTATATCAATATATGGTTAGTTATTGGTTGTTCAAAAGACCTCTTGGTCCTTAGAAGTTGATCACAACAATATTAAACTTAAGATAGGATAATTCTTGGCCAATGAATGTCCATATCCCACTTCACAATATGGTAAAGAACCGCGGGGAGAATTGATGTGTCACAATATCTGCTAGTTTACTCCTTTGCATACTAAAATTTCCTATAGGATTTGAAACTCTTTTAAGTTTAGTACAAGCAACCTGTTTGTACAACATAAAAGAACACTGTTTGATCCAAGGGGATAAATATAGAAGATGAATTTTGATCAGATAACAGTTCAAATATTATTTGAAACAAAAACAAAAAGAGAAAAGAATGACAGCGCCTAACCCTACAACAATTGTTTCCACCTTACAGATGCAACTGGTGCTAAACCACTAAGCAAAGCATACTAGCGATAAACCATAATCCCTAATTGCTTACTGACCTTTCAAAGAAAAAGAAAAAGGAAAAAGAATGACAGCGGCTAACCCTACAACAATTGTTTCCTCCTTACAGATGCCATTGGTGCTAAACCACTAAGCAAAGCATACTAGCGATAAACCATAATCCCTAATTGCTTACTAACCTTTCAAAGAGAAAGAAAAAGGAAAAAGAATGACAGTGGCTAACCCTAACCCTACAGTAATTGTTTCCTCCTTCAAGTAAGCAAAAGCATAACAGAACTCTAGCGATAAACCATAATTCCCACCACTCTCCAAATAATGGCATACATATCATCAGGTCTTCCAATCAAGCTAATTTACTTTATCTAGCAGTTTGCTAGCATAGCAAAGGAACCCTCTTTTTTCTCAAGGCTGGACTTAATCTGAAGCTATTAAGATCTTTCATCTATTAGAAAGGAAGGCTGATTTATTAAGTTGGTTGTGCTTCCTCCATGAAATCTCATTCGCACTATTCGCAGTCAAAATGTGATGTGCAGTAGACGACAACAACAACAACAACAACAACCCAGTGAAATCCCACTAGTGGGGTCTGGGGAGGGTAGTGTGTACGCAGACCTTACCCCTACCCCGAAGGAGTAGAGAGGCTGTTTCCGAAAGACCCTCGGCTCAAGAAGACAAAAGACAAAAGAAGACAATATTAGTACCACCACAGAAATAATATGAAAGAATATATATATATATATATATTCCAAAAAAATTGGAAATATAATCAAAAGATTCTAACCTGTAAAGTTTCCGGATACAAATGCACGCGAAGCATCTCTGAAATTTGAAAATTGTAGAAACAACATATATTAGTTGAAAACCACCGAGCAGTTAAAAATACTCCAATGAGATTAGCCTTATATGACACAGAACTAGCAAAAGTTTATAACTGATTTTCCCCACATAAACAACCAAAAGTGATAGAATCAAAGATTACATTAAGCTTTCAATAAGGATTACAAATTATGAAGCATAAATACAACAATTGCAAAAGAATTTGAAAAAAAAAAAAGACCTTCCAGCAAAATGGTTGTAGCCACCTTCTACTCCATAGTGACTCTTTCCTTTGCTCACATCAAATACTGACCTAATAATAGCAACCAAATCAAAAGCAATAAAATCACCCAAATGTTCAAAAAATGCAATCTTTAAATGACACAAGAGTAGTATAGCAGATTTAACATGTACCCAATAATACCAAGAAAAATGGGCAAGCTTGGATCAGACCCATTGTAAATTGCAAGTTCTTCAACAGTAAAAAGTCTCTGAAAATTCAAAAAAAAAAAAAAAAAGAACCCCACAAAATAAAAAAGTGATTTTGAGATTCAGATACAAATTATACAACAAAAGATACTGATACAATTAAGATTATGGAGTTAAAGAGACAAACTTGTGGAGTAGAGTAGAGTGATTTGAGAGGGAAAATCTTGAAAAGGAGTAAAGAGAGAAGTGCCACTATTAGAGGAATCCCTAAAAATGGAGACCAGCGCATTTTCACCCTTTACTGAGGATTCAAAAGTCAAAAGTCACCAACTTTCTCGTTCGCAGCTACTTCAATTGTGCTTACTTGGCAGAGAATTGTATAGTATTTGCTCCTTCATCAGCCTTTTCTTGTTGAATGAATTGTGTCTTTTGAAAATTACGAGTTTTACTTATTGTTTAAAAACAAACTTTTTTTATAAAAAAAAAAACTTGATTTTTCAGTCTATTGTGGAGAATTGAAAGTTTTGACTTTCACAACCAGGTGAGTTGAACTTTGAAACTAGAGGTGTGCATTCGATTTATTGATTCGATTTTGACCCTTATCGATAATTACTTATCGATTATCGATTTGTACATATGCTTATCGTTATCGTTTCGATAAGGTTTCGATTTTTTCGATTTCGATTTATCGATTTTTGGGACTTATCGATTCGGTTATCGATTACACCAATAAGAAAATTTGCGGGATTACACGGAAAGTATATCGCTATAAACACGCCTAACTAATATGAACAAAAAGAAGCTAAAATAAGACGAACACCATTTATAACATAAAAATTGTGTCAACAAGCACATGCAACGAAACTAATGTAAGGGATCAAATGTATGCCACCGACACTCCAACGGTATAAAAAAAAATACATCATCACGGCTAATTCTGTTTTCCATTAATTTGAACTTCATTCCCTTGAGCTTTAAATATGATCATTCCTTAAATGTGGTATCCCTTGCTGAAAGTCCTAACCTTTAAACCTGGAAGAAATTAAGAAAAATATTAAGAACTTTGTAATACATCACATTCTTTTACAAGGAAAGGTATTATACAATAAGGGTATATTTATCTTTTTAGTATATCTTATCGGTTTATCGATAAACCGATAACCGAAGAGGACAAAATTGAAATCGAAATCGATAACTCGATAAGGAAAATTTCGAAATCAAAATCGATAAATCGATAACAAATAATCGATTCGATTTATCAATAAACCGATTCGAATGCACACCCCTATTTGATACAGTCCTTTTTATATGAGTTCAGGCAAGAGAAAATATTTTAGAATGAATTTTATTCGGGGAAAAAAAAAACGTAAGAAGCCATTTAATTCTTTTGGCGACTACCACAAAAGCGGTAAAAGAATACGCCACAAATATGTCGCCAGTCACAAAAGCGACCTATGTAACTTTATTTGTGGCGCATTTCTTTAACTTATTGTGGCGAGATATGTCGCCACAAAAGATAATTTATTAATAAAGTTTTTGTGGCGACTAAAATTGCCACAAAAAGGTAACAATGCCTCACAAATAAATTTAAGGTAGGTCACTACCAGTGGCGTAGCCGCTCAATGATAAGGGTGGTCAAGCGCACATCCTCTGCCTTTAAAAATTATAATGCGTGTATAAGATAAATACTATTTTATATGGTTATATATTATATTTTGAACATCCTTAGTAGAGTTAAGTGAAGCAATATAGCGATTCAGGTGTTCAAAGTAACGTGTTGTTTACGGGTTCAAAGTTTTGCCCATTTTATTTGCCAAAACAAAATAAAGACCACCATATGGTCTTTTGATTCTTTTTCAATCTAAAAAATTTCCTAATAAAATAACTCTTAAAACTTAAAATTTGGTAGAAATAAACAACTAATCTTATAAGTAATTTTTTACCTAAAAGTTATTTCTTAAATAAATTTTATAATTTAAAAGTCAAGCTCTACAAAACTTCTTCAACAAAAACTCTCTACAAACTACAACTCCTCTCGAAATCTCTCTCTTTCTTTTGGTTTTATGCTTGCTTTTATAAAATTTCAATATTTTTTTTTGCAAAATGTTGCGTAATTAGATCTAAAAAATTTGGTACACCAATCATCGATAAAAACATTATTGATTTGTTTAAATTTTGGACACCCTTGATGGAATTCCTGGCTACGCTACTGGTCGCTACTCAAAATGGCGACATATAGTCCAACGCTAAGCCGTTATTTATTGCGACAACTTGGCAGTTACTTTTGGTCACGACTAAAGAGGTCGCCACAGAACGTTATTACTAAAATCTTATTTTTAATTGTGATAAAATGGGAGATAAAAGACTTATATCTTGCAAAGTAGTCAATCTTAGTTAAAACCAACAACATAGACAAAAATTTCAATTTCATTAATCAAATGATATACTATAAAGATCAGAAGGCTGAATTTGTTTAGTTACATTGAAAAATCTTAGAACATCTATCCATTGCTCCCATTTCTTTAGCCTATGAACAGCTATTGTATCTGGGATTAGCTCATGTGAACATCTCCCATTAGTTCCTGGATAATCATACATTTGTGGCTTGTTAGAAAATCTATTTTTTGCTTTATTTCCCCATTTTAGCCATTGACCAACCAACTTATCTTCAGGACCATAAGTATTATTCACAGGAATATTCGATCTTCCAATCCATTCCACCAGATCCCACGATAAAATAAACCCCATCCCAGACATGTAATGCACGAACGCGTTCATGCTAGGACAAGGTATAACAAAGCCATAATATAAATCAGCCCTAGGTAATGGTTGGAGAGATGTTGCTAATGGTGCTAGCCTCAAATACACATCATCATCCGCCTTCATGATGTAGTCGTAACGTGTAGGAAGGATTCGAGGAAGGGTAGAAAAGTAAGTGTAAGTTTTGCCACTATTCATGTTTTCGGAGCAGTTGAGGACGATAATGTCATTAAAACGCATGATTTCTAAGGCGATGAAAGTCCGATGTTCTGCGTTAGTAATGTTGCAGAAAATGAACTTCACGTCGACACGAGCTATGGGTGTGGATTGAATTCCATAAACCAGACGAAGGAAATGACGTCTATCGAAATTTTTTGGTTGTGTAAAGATTCCTATTAAGAGGGTGAACTGTGTGTTCATTTGGGTCGATTGTTGCAATAAAATGGTGTTGTTTAACGAAGTTGTTAACGAAAAGTTTAAGCGAATATTAAATGATATAAACAAGATAAAAAGAAGTATAACAAACGAAGATAAAGAAACCAAAAGCAGCTTCCTCCTCAGCATCCTAGTTTAGAAAATGATATAAAAGGTGTGTCATTGACCGTTTAGACAAAAGGAGCCAAGTTTGAATACTCAAGAAAACGGATTCTGTGCTTCTTAAATAGACCACAGCACCCACCCCACCCCCCCCCACCCCCACCCCCCACCCCCAAAAAAAAAAAATACACACACAACAAATATATATATATATTTTATGATTTCGGAAAACAGCCGAGGGTCTTTCGGAAACAACTCTCTACTCCTTCGGGGTCGGGGTAAGGTTTGCGTACACACTACCCTCCCCAGACCCATTAATGGAATTTTACTGGATTATTGTTGTTGTTGTTGTTTATAATTATTATATATATATATATATATATATATATATATATATATATATATATTATATAAAGAAAAGGCATTATCCTTATATGGCATGGTTCATGGTATGAAGAAAGTAAAAAGCTTGTGATATTGTCATGCTTTGTATACAAGGAGTAATTGTCTTGTGAAGATTATGTGATGAGGTGCCTAAAATGTGAATATTTAACAAGTATATTTGGATTTTATTGAAAATTTGGTTTAACTTGAATCAGAAAGAGCTCAAAAGTTATGTTGCTGTCAAAATTGTAGTTTTGTAACACGATACGTCATAGTTAATGTGACATACAATTTTTTATCTCAGTCTAGTTATGTAACGGATAAACAAATATTTAAAAAAAATTAAAAGTAACATTGTATCACTTATTTATTTATTTTTTATACATATAGGGGAAGGAAGTGAGAAATGAAGAAGGGACTAACAATATAAAAAATCGAACACTAATAGCCAATCAATTGAGTTACTATGATCCCCAATTTAAAAATATTATATGATTGTAGACATCAAGAATTTCGAAAGACTCAAGCATTTAGATGAAATGGGAAAGGGGAAGAAAGATTTTTAGAATTGAACGCATCCGTACACTATTTTAAATATAGGAGTAATTAGTTTTAAAAAATTATTTAACATTTGGCCAGATTTGGCAACTTCAGACCCTTCTTAAAGATGTCGTTGCTGCTACTGCTTCTTCTTCAGACCTTAGGGTCTGAAATTAGGCTATGCAAAAACTAACTTCTGCCTAAGCTATGAAAATATAAATTTTCTTGACCGAAATTGAAACTTTCATATTGGAGTTTGATTCAGGATAAAAGAATTTATAGAAATATGATATTTTTTTTGGTGATATTTAACTTTTGACTTCCGCTTATCCCATAGACAAAACTTCAAGATAAAAATTAAAAGTGTTGCCATGGGACAAGCGATAGGCAATAGTTATTAAACTTGAAGTTTTGGCTATAGGTAACAGAGATAAAGATTTATGATCATCCACTTTGAGGGTTATTTATGTACTTCACCTATTCTGGATGGCTAAATACTAAATACTTTGTAAATTTTGTCTATTATTATTTAAATAACTAACGATCCTAAAAACAGCTTTATGTGCATTTCACCGTATAAATGACACCAGATAGCCACTTTAAAGAGTTGCTATTTACTAGTTAGCTAGTGTGTCCTAAATTTTAGTTTTCTCGTTCAAATTTTCAGGACAAAAATATTCTGAATTGTAGTGAAGTTAAGACTTTTAGTTTAAAGATACAAGTACTGGCTAATATCTAAATAGTATATCTGAGAATGGCTATCTCTGCACATTTCACCCGGTTCAACCCCAAAAGGCCCAAACCCAATAGGAAAACAAAGTCTTGCTTGGTCTCTTGAAGGATCTTTGTCGTCGTCGTTTTCCCTCCGAGAAGTATCAGAGATCGGATTCTCCTCCCGCGGCCTGCTCTCTCTTCTCTCTCCTATCAAGGTACTTTCTCTCTCTACAATTTACAACTCCTCACATCATTGAATTTTCTTAAATTTTATGATTTTTTCTTCCCCAGAAATGTCTGATTTTTAGCTTTGATCTAATCGACGAGCGTTATTTCATTTTTGTACGGCAGTCTTCTAGTTGATTGATTGGTTGCAGTATTATAAAATTGAGAAGAAAATATAGAGAAGAGATGGGGGTGAAGCAAGTTCTAAAAGCCCTGGATGCTTTTCCCCGTGCAGAAGATCATTTGTTACAGAAGACTAAATCTGGCGCCTTTGGTATTATTACTATTATTATTAATATTATCTCCTTACTCCCAGTCTTGTCTTCATATGGGTAACTAGGAATTGTTTCTTATTGCTGGGGATGATCATGACCCCCCCTTTTTGTTTTAGGGAAAAGGAAAGATAGTGCTAACTGCTTTTCATTATTTGAATTAGGACTGATGCTAACTGATTAATGTACATACATCATATGTTTAACACGTCGAGCAGCTTTACCACAGCATACCATGTTAAATGTAAAGGGTGAAATGATAATTATCCCGTAGATATATGGTAGATGTAGGTACCCGGGCCAGTTAAGTAACTGAACTTCAGATACCCAGTATTTCTTTAAATGTGTTGTGTCTTTATATCTAAATTGTGCTAGTTCATGTTTTTCTTGAGCCGAGGGTCTTTCGGAAACAGCCTATCTACCCCTCTGGGGTAGGGGTAAGGTCTGCGTACACTCTACTCTCCCCAGACCCTACTTGTGGGATTTTACTGAGTAGTTGTTGTTGTATAGTTAGTTGACTCTAAACTATATTTAGACCTGCTACGACTTTTGGAGATGCTTTTTTTCATTATTAAAGTTATTGATGCTACTTCTGGTCATTCCTTGGTTGTTTGATTCTATAAACGTTTTTCCTGCACTTCTGTCCAAGTTGGTCCCTGCGCCTGGTCAAGTGCATAGGGGATGGTACTGAATTGCGACGGTTGTTGGTTGCTTCAGTTGGCGCTAATTTTGAATTGACCATTAGTAGAAATCATGCTTACTCTATTCTGCAATTTTTTCTTTTAATTTGATTCTTTACTAACTTTACTCCTTTGTTTTTCTCTCTCACTAGTTTCCATTGTGGGGCTGGTTATCATGGCAACACTATTTTTGCATGAACTGAGTTACTATCTTAGTACAAATACAGTTCATCAGGTATCCTCCTCTTCAATGCTGCTTTCTCGTCATTGTTTACCTTATTCGATAATTGCTATCCCACTTAAGGGTTGTTTAAAGGTTTCTGCTCTGACTTATGCTTTTACAGATGGCTGTTGACTTGAGACGTGGAGAGACTCTACCCATACACATTAATATGACATTCCCCTCTTTACCTTGTGATGGTACGGAAAATGATCCCCCATATGGTCTTATGTTTGCGTACACTCTTTAAGATTTTTTTTTTGTGTGAATATCTACTATCTAAATGCTTCAGGCATTGACTAATTTCTTCAACCGTGGTAGTTCTAAGTGTGGATGCAATTGATATGTCGGGGAAGCATGAAGTAGACCTTGATACAAACATATGGAAGGTAACTGGTCTTTTTGAATTGAGAAAATTCGTGCTCTGCCTTACCTTTAGAAAAAGGTGCTCTGCCCATTAAACTGAAAAGAAAGTGACCATGTTTCGCATGAAAAGATGATGCATAACACCTTAGCTTGTAGTATGTTAACCGTACTTTCACTAGCAACTACTTTGTGCCTTTATTAGACTTAATCTGGTAATATTATTTTTGTTAGATTTTTTTTCTTTTTTCGTGTTTGTTTTACGGTGGGAGGGATAAGATGCAGCAGTAGCGGGGTATGACAACGAAAGCTGTTTCTGTTTTCACTTAGTATTTCGCCATTGTTTTCTTCTGCCAGACATGTTTGGCATATTTATGTTGGCTAGTTGCTTTAGTCACATATTAGCATCTGAAGAGAACTGAACTATTAAAAATAGTTTGAGTGTTTATGGTTACAAGTTACACTGAAAACAGTTGGCAATAACAATGGTTTGGATTAAGGCCTAGTTGTTTTTGACAATCCGATGTTTGTGAGAAATCTTTTTTTCCTGGTTAGAGACTTGTATATCTGTTTAGGATTAGCTGTGAGATTTAGAAAACCTCTAGCTTTTGTGAACCCCTAATTAGCATTAAAAGATAAATACTTAGTATTTGAATGAAATGGACCTAAATGTGAAATAGTTGCTGAGGATTCATGTAGCCAATCCTACTAACCCGTCATTGATGCATATTTGTTTAGTTTTTATAGTTATAAGTTACAACTTGCAGTACTGCAGGTACCATGCTTTTATGCGAGGCTGAAGATACATTGATCGTACAGTAGTTAGAGCCTGGTTGGCCAAGCTTCTAAAAACTGTTGAATTCATTTGAGAAGTACTTTTGTCAAAATTGCTTTTCTGAGTAGTACTTTGGGAGAGAAGTAGTTTGTGTTTGGCCAATTCATTTGAGAAGTGTTTTTCTAATTTTTTGATAAATAGATTGTGTTTGGCCAATCTTTCCAAAAAGTGGTTTTGGGTGTCAAATTACGAGAAAAGAAGTAGGACATTACGTCATAATATTTCTGCTTTGTTTGCAAGTTGCTAAAATAAAGAGAATTCCAATTATATCTAATGACAAGAAAAACTGTAACAACTTCTAGGCAACATGCTCCACGCAGGACAGCATTGATTGCCCAACACTTACTTTGGTAATGAATCGATAGATCAAATAAATTAACCTGAGGATCTAAACAGTATCAAGCTTCATTTTACAATAAGTATAATTTAAATAGAGAAATGATTTTAATATTTTTCATGAAATACTTAATTAAGTTTTTGTTTTTATTTTAGTAAAATTTGAAAACAGTATATATATATATATATATATATAGCATAGCCTTTGCTTAATGGTTGAGAGTTTTTGCAGCTTCGCTTGAACAGTGATGGCCATATTACTGGAACTGAGTATTTGTCAGACCTTGTGGAAAAGGAACATAAACATGGTAATGTCTTCCTTTTCTGCTCTGACTCTCGTATAAACTTTTTCCTCCTCACATTAGTGAACTTTAATTATGCTTTTTGTTGGATAAAAATATATTAGTATATGTTTAATAACATGGTTTTAAATGACAACTTTAACCAGATGACCACAAAGACCATCATGAAGATTCAGATAACAAAACCCATCTGCAAGGGTTCGATCAAGATGCTGAAAATATGATTAAGAAGGTTAAGCAAGCATTGGCTAATGGGGAGGGATGCAGAGTATGTGCCTCTTTCATTTTTAGCTTTATTATTTTATTTGTTATTCTTCTCTCTTTCTCCTTTGTGCCTCGGAAATAAGATTATGAAAAAGGTTTGGAGATTCATACCGTTATACCACTTGGACTAAATAAGCAATGGTAATTGTATTGTTTATTGCAGGTCTATGGTGTTTTGGATGTCCAACGTGTTGCTGGGAATTTCCATATATCTGTTCATGGGTTGAATATTTTTGTTGCTCAAATGGTTAGCTCTCGTGGATTCTATGTTCTTTTATGGTGTGATTTTTACAATGATACTCAACCTGTTAAAAGACATTGACTTCTCCATTTATCTTTCTTTTCTATTTATGTATGAAACAGCTATCTTTGGAGGTTTCTAGTTGGAAGATGCTAAAATTATAATAGACTTGAAAATAATGACCTTTAGGAATTAGTTTATTGGAAGTTCTTATATAAATCAGATTTGTCCTGTTTCTTTTTTTTGCTTACTCCTGTTTGTATCTGTTTTTAACCACTGCAGATTTTTGGAGGTTCTACTCATGTCAATGTGAGCCATATCATCCATGACTTATCATTTGGGCCCAAATATCCAGGTATTCACAACCCGCTTGATGGAACAGAACGAATTCTGCGTGGGGCAAGTGGAACATTCAAATATTACATTAAGGTTTGAGTTGTAGCCCTCGTTTGAGATTATAGACATTTATTTGATGTTTAGTTTGAATATGTTGCCTACAGTATTTGGACATAGCCATACATCTTTCTCGAACTGATGAAATGAATTGTATAACTGCTCGCTTTAGTTTATTTTCTGTACATGTTTTTTAATATTTTGTTTTAACTTTTTATCACTAGTCTTTCTGGAATCGTTGTGAAAAGGAGATATCGCTGAATTTAGGTACCTTTTCCGTTGTACTGCGGAGCTCCACTTTTGTGCAATTGATTGTTTATACAGATCATAAATCATACTTTCTCCACAAAAGAACGATATTAAATAGAATGACTTGGTAATCCGGACCTTAAGTGTCCCTTTTTTTTTTTGTAATTATAGTCCCAGAATAACTTAATTAGCTTTTGCGCTGCCCAACAGCTGCACTAAATGGGTGAATGGGGTTCGTGGAGACATGCACTGCAGTGCATGATCTTCATATCCACTTTGAACTGAAAGTGAGGAGACTATTTTTTCTGCATCAGGCCATGATTGTCAACAGCGTATATATTTAGCTAAAAAATGATCGTTTAACAACATATATTTTCATCTGTGTCGTCTGTCCTGTCCTACTTCCATTTTTAGGTTGTCTCAAAATCGTATCCACTTGAAATGAGAACTTTTTGTCTATCATTATTAATACTTTTTAATCACTTTAGTATAAAAAAAGGTTAATATGAGTCCTGTTTTCACTCTTTAACGATATTCAATTTTTTTGGAAGTCAACTTTATCTTCACTTTTGGGCCCACTTTAATTTAAATATGATAAATTTCCCACTGTAACCTTAGTAGTCGAGTCGAAACTAAATTTGACACCTGCATTTGGACCGAAGGAGCAATTTTATAAATATGCAGTTCTATAACTGGAGTAATTTCTGTTCCTGGTACCTCCCACTATCCTTAGCCAAATTATCTTTTAAGTATACCATAAAGTGTGAGAAATTTCCATGGATTTATGGTGAGTAATTAACATTTAGCTGAAATGTATGGTCTAGTTAAGTTGTGCGGATCTCATACCAAGTTTTTCTTTGAAGCTAATGTTCTGTTGTTTTGCTATTCTGCATTTTGAAGTTCTGGTTTTTGTCTTGTAGATTGTTCCCACTGAATACAGGTATTTATCAAAAGAAGTTTTGCCAACTAATCAGTTCTCTGTAACGGAATACTTTTCTCCCATCAATGAGTTTGATCGGACATGGCCAGGTGCATCTCTTAAGTCTTAAATACTCAAAAAACAAATTCTTTCTATCAATTGTTGCCTTTTCTCTTTCTCTCGTTGTACTTTTTTGCTTATTGTCTTTCTCAATTAATGCAGCTGTATATTTCTTATATGATTTATCACCAATCACTGTGACCATCAGAGAAGAACGTCGCAGTTTTCTGCACTTTATTACTCGGCTCTGTGCAGTTCTGGGTGGTACATTTGCCTTGACAGGTTTGCCTCCAACACTTAGCTGTAGCCTGTAGGATTTTTTGAAGTTAAACATTCTCTTATAAGCCAGAAGTCCCTGCTATTATTCTACTCTTCTTTTTGCACATACATTCTTGTCATTTGAAGGTTGATCTTAATGCTCTGCATTTTGTTGTGTGGGAAGAAATTGTTGATCATTTGCTCTGGTGTGTGGAAAATGCTTACAAGTATTTTGGTGCCAGGAAATGCGATACTTTAGACTTCTTTATTCTTATCTTTTATTCTTATTTCTTTCTTGCATATTCAGAACGGAGTGTTTGCTGGGGAGATCATCTTCTAAGAGTCTCAACCAATACTTGGGAAATTTTCTCCCGTGTTCTATAATCTTTTTTTCCCCCATGTTTGCAGTTGAGGGATCTCCATTCAAACATTATCTCCATTCACGCATTTCGCTGAAATAACATAGACCTGGCATCTGCCAATGATTTGGAGTTTATATTGTGTCTGTTTAGTTAGATACCGATTTTTTTTTATGTGGGGTTATAACAGTCATAGGTTTAGGGAGTGGCCTAATATTGGCAAGTTTTTAAACTTTCCCTGAGAAGTCTGTCGTAGATTTACGTATGGACAACGTGTTTTCCCCTGATTCTTTTGGCTTCCTCTTAGGATCTTTTTTTGTTTGGAATTTCAGGGATATTCCCCTAAAGCTGTTTCTTGCAGTTAAGAAACTGGACTGTGAAATTAGTAGGAAATCTTTAATCTAATCAGTGATCACACATCCTCACATATTTGCCTAATGTTTTCTGTATAATAGGCATGCTAGATAAATGGATGTACAGGTTCCTTGAAGCAGTTATGAAGAAAAACAGCAGAAGTCTTGTGCGATAATTTAAGGTTACCTAGTGACATGTTGCACCTACAGAGTAGTATTCAGCTGAGGAAATCCCAAATTCCCAGAGCACTATATGTGGAAGCTTTTAGCGAACAAGGGAAATCGATAAATGAGGCTTGTGTATAATTTATTCCCTGTGTATTTTGTTTTTCTGACTTTCTTTTTATCCTTTAATTTTGATAGCACTTTACACAAATATACCATGGTGTATCCAAGCCATTCTAGCAGTCTGAGAAAAGATTTACTTACTGGTCGTTGTAACATAATGTAGTTTGTAGTTCAAAGGAAATGAACATTTCCAGGTTTTGTTTCTCAATTTTAGTTGAAAAACTTGCTGTAACTGAGAGAGATGGACTTCTATGTGATGCTTCTTTATTATGTAACTCTTGTTTAATGCAGTACCTGGAAAGTAGATAGTCTGGTAGATCTTGTAAATTGGAGTAAAACCTATTTCTTCCTTTTATCAGTTTTAGAAAGATAGTAGTTGACCAAATACTTGATGCCATTAGTACTAGAATAGAGTGGGGATGGAGTCGAATCGAATAAAGCATGCATCAATACAAGAAGGGTCTTTAAATAGATTTGGAAGCCGCCAATCCAGGGTCCAGAAGTTTATTGAGGTATTATCACTTTTAGCTCGCGTCAGAAACTATTTACTTTCGGTAGTCAAAAAAGTGCATAAAATTTGTATATAACATACAGAATGTATATACATACACACACAAAAAAAAAATCTCGGCTATTAGTTTGAGAACGACTATACAATGTCATTTTTCCCCAAGTGTAAGTCTATCTATTCAACGATGTTTGCTTGGGGTAGGCATAGTTTGGGCGAATCCGAATTCCAAACCGGAATCCAAGTTTTTTGGATTTTCGGATTACGGATTGGATTTTGGATTTAATTTTTAAAACTTTTGGATTTCGGATTGAATATTGGATTTGATACTTCGGATTTTTGGGTATCCGAAAAACCAATTTTTTATACTTTATATTTAGTCCATATCTATATGTCAATAGTAATAAGTTCAATACCCTACCAAATACCAAGTTGATATTATCTCATAAATTTAATATTAATAATAAGTTATTGTCTGAATACTTTCTATTTGGACATGATTTTACTATTGCTACTTCTTATCGGCCGTAGCAATGTCTCTGTTATTTTTTTTTAAAATCATAATTTTATTACTTCAATACTTTATTTGGATGATTGCAGCAAGAATGAGGAACTTTTCAAGCAATTTAATATGAGTACTTCATTTGGATATTCATTTTTGTAAAAAGTAGAAACATCTCAACTTATATGCTCAAAACCAAAAATCCATAATATCCAAACCGATTAATCTGAAACCGAACTTAAAAAATCCGATCCAATCCGAACTTATTTGGATTGAAATTTTTTCAATCTAAAAATCGAAAATCCAAACCGAAATTCTCATATCCAATCCGAACGCCCACCCCTATTCGCCTTGAATTTGCAAAATGAATGAATAAAAGCATAAAAACCAGGCTAACTTTCTAGAAAATTTAAAAAAAAAAAAAGAAAGAGGAGAATTGATAGTTGTAGACACCCAAGCATAAGCCTTTTTATATTTCATAAAATATCAAAAGTATTCAAAATTCCATGCTTCCAAATACTTTCATGATAAAATAACTCCTACGGCTACAAGCTCCCTATACTATCCCATTTCTGCAATTTTTTCCACCCTTAATGGCACATTTTCTATGTGGCCTATTCCTTGTGCAGCTAAGTACCAAGTGAATTTTCATGGTACTACTTAAAGTAGCAGCACAAGATAAGGAATTCCTCAAAATACAAAAATGCTGGAAATTAATCAGCATCAACCACTGATTTGACTTCAAACTATTTGCCCAATGCTGTGAAAATGTTAGAAGTCTGAGTTAAGAACTCTGAATCCTAATCTCTTGCAGCCCCGGATTCTCTGATTGTCCAACAACAGGATTATGCAATGATTGGTGTTGTTGCTGCTGACTATTATTATGGCGTTGTTGGCGTGAGGTGTTGTCAATGTAGCTATAATATCTTTGATCAGGCAGAACATGTGGTTGCACGGCACTGGTTGCCTGTGCAGGGGAAGATCGTAGACGTCTGCTTGCTCTCCACCTCAAATACTCTACAAGGAGCGAGTTGGTACTAATTGCAATACCGAACCCAGTGAAGGAGGACAGCAGCACCGATAGGAGTGCACTAACATTAAGCTGCAGATACAGCAATTATGCAAATCTTTATGTATCAGTTATTTTTGCAGGTGAAAACAACAGCATTCTTCCCCTATCGTCCAAACAAGGAACCTCACTTCCTCCCCTCCCCCCTCCCTCGGCTGCTAACATACATAAGAGAGAAGGACGCTAAGAAATGCAAGAAATTAAAGAGTGAAAGATCTCTTACCACTGCATAGAATATATGGGCGAAGAGGATAACAATTGCGAACTGAAATGAAGCATAAGCCCATATGTAACTCTTGCTGACTGCAAATGGACAAAGAACGTGTCGGCCCAAAAAATATCAAAATGACGTAAAGAACATCGACGAATGAGCCAACAATAAAAACATGTCGAAATTCTAAAAGACAGAGCCATTCAGTTACTTTGTCTGTCAGGTCAATTTCATTATATTCATGGCTATTGATGAGGTATGTATTACAGCATGATAAGCAGTTTGAGATCTTCCTTCCTTTTTTTCTTTTACTTAGGACTGATCCTCAAAAGAGAGATGTCTCCCTTGCAATAGAGAGGGGCTTGCGAAAATGGAATAGCTAAAGTGCAAAAACAGAAAACTTTTACCCAAGCAGGCTCTGGCATGACACAAAGTGTTTATCCAAACACGTTAACCATGTTTACTGAAGGTCAAAATTCCACTATATATGGCTAATTAAGAGTCGTGTGTAAATCACTAAGAGGGTGTTTGAATTGGCTTTTAAGCCGGTCAAATCAGCTTTTAAGCTCTTTTTAGCTTTTCACTGTTTGGCAAAGTCAAAAAGTGCTAAAAATAAGTTAAAAACTGCTTAAAACAAGCCAAAAGCAAGAAGCTGGACAACCCCAACTTATTGCCTTTTGGCTTAAAAGCTATTTCTGCTAAAAAAAATTTAAGCCAATCCAAACAGGCTCTAAATCCTTTAATATAAAGTTCATTTCCAGTTAAGAAATGGTGAAATTGAATTGATTGTGATTTGATAGTTCTTGCTAACTTGATATCTAAGAGACAAAATCCAACAAAAATTCAGCGGATTAACAGCCCCCTTTGTCTCTCTAGCCATAATATATTTGTTGTTTATTCAATTAAGTTAAAGGAAAAGGCCAGGAAGTAGAGGTTTTATATGTGGAATCATTTCAGAGATGACATTGGATGAGAAGAAAATAGAGAAGGGAAAACAATCGTACCCATTGTAGAAGCTATCATAGAAGAAAGGAGACCTAAAACACAAGAGAAAGGTAAAGAGATAGCAAGAGCACGAGCGCCTAAGTCAGTCACCTGTCACAATACAAAAAAAAAGAAAATGATAAACACAATATTCTAACATCAGACAGAAATGTGAATGCTATATGAAATATGATCAAAGAAATGGTTGTGACTTTAATAGGATTCCTAAATATTTTTTGGACAGTTCTAAACATCACTACAAATGTTGACACTTGAAGAGACTCACTATCCAATTCTTTTTAGTCCATACTGAGTTATGACATGCGCAACAAGCTGAACCTATTGACACACACACGACATAATATACCAATTTTCCATCTAGGCTTTCAAGAAGTTCGTGGTTTAACACGAAATTGTTACATACCCTCTTAAAATATGATAACATGAATGTAGAATATGAATGTCATGATGGTTACGCAAGCTGAACAAAGAAACCGGTGATAAAATAAAGCTAAAGTTGCATCTTATAACCTAGTTTATAAGAGTCATCCCTTTTTGGCCTACTACTTTCAAATGTGCAGTACCTAGTTTATAGAGTTTCTGCATTTGTTTTCCTACTATTTTATATGTGCACATAAAACCCCAACGTTCTAAAAATGTGTAAAAATGAGATTTTCCTCTTAGTGGTGCTAATATTAGATGGAAAAGTAATCTGCCTTGCACATGATTCTTTTATCAGTCTTTTTGATGCTCAAAACCTATATTCATTCAAATATTATTTCTTGAAGTAATAAAAAGCATCAAATTTCCAACATCTCCCCCTTACCTTAATATGCACACAAATTAAGACGTTTTAATATAGTACTAATAATTATTTTATTTTAACAATATTTACGATAACATTTGATCTCTTTTTATCTTTCAAGTCCTCAAATATCCACACAAATATAATGTATAAATGAATATGGGTTTTGAACTCTCAAATGGCTGATCAACAGGTTGTACATGAATTTTTGCATCAGAAAGTAATGTCGTTAGAGGAAGTCCTATTTTAGCATTTCTTTAAGAAAGTTGGTATTATGCACAGAGTCCAAAAAAGTAGGACAAGAGTCAAGAAATGCACAAACCCTATGAAATAAGTACAGAATGCACATTCTGGAAAAGGACAGAAATGTACCAAGAAATGCAATTTAGGTGAAATTTACTGGATTAGCTAGACTTTAACTCACATTGGAAGATATTTAACAATGAAGAAACAAAAGGAAAGTACCAGAAGCTGCTCCAGAAAGCAAAAGTAGGCAAGCATGCTGACCATGACAAGGATCGGTACGTCTTGCCAGACTCTGTTGACGGCAATGAAAAGAGGAAACACCCAAATAAGTGTGACAAATAAATTTCCATGCGACATTCATTAACATTTAGATTAACCTGGTTAAAGGTATCACGAAATAAATGAGAAACTATTGACACCAATTATCATGGTGTGAATACTGACAAGTCACCAAACAAGTGCAAGGAAAGTTTTAGTTTGATGATTTAAACGCATAATCTTCAGATATCAGAGGGTTTAAGCTTCTTCAATTTGTCCAATTTCACTTCTACTGATTGAATCTCCTTCCTCAATCTTAATTAAATTTTAAATATTTTTATTTGTTGTGTGTACTTTTCACTCAGTTGCCTGAAGCAACACGGAGAAAAGGTGCCAGATTTTGTGACTCCACAACTTTCCCTTTCCTCCCCCTCCCTTATCTTCAAGCATTTTATACACAAGGATAGATGGAAACGAATTAGTTGAATCTCATTTTAAAATCTGTTCTACACTTGTGAAGAAACCTAGTAATGTTTATCAAGATCCAGGGCATTCATGATTTCAATATTTGGGAAGGATTTATTATTAAAAGAAACTATGCTTTACAGTGCATCATGTAAAGAATCAAAAGCTTCCAAATGTTTAGATAATAATAACAACATACCCAGTATAATCCCACACAGTGGGGTCTAGGGAGGGTAGTGTGT